ACACTCAAATTGATACCTTGACTTTGGCTTATAAGGAATATGATTAGAGTATGATGCAAGCTGAGAAATATGACTTGGTGTGGGTTGTCCAAGAAGAGAGTGTGTTGGGGTTTGAGAGGACTTACCTTGCTGAAACTTGCTCTGTTGTTGAACACTTTGTTGAGGGCGATAGTTGGAACTTGTCATTCCACTCCATGCTGGTCCAGGATTTCTCTGAAGCTTTGCAAGTTCTCTTGTCTGATGTTCGGTGATGAGCGTGTTGAAGATGAAATCTCGGGTCCTTGTCTCCTCAGGAAAGGCTTGAATGGTGCTTCTCATAGTGCTCCATCCAGATGAAAGTCCGGCTAGAAGAATGGTGATGAAGAGAGATTCCGGGACCTCAATGCCGAGAAGTGTAGCTTCGTAAAGGACCATTTCACCACGTTGTAAGTAGTCGGGGATGGACTCACTCTCCCCCATGCGGAGAGAGACAATCTTGTTCCACACTTCTGCCTTAGAACCTTGGGAAATAGGTTGATGAAGACGTTTGAGCCGCTCCCAAGCAGCTCTGGCACTGTCCTTTTGAGTTGATACGAGGAGGAGGGGTTGAGAGTAGGGGTCTTGAATGGAAGAGAGGAGATAGAGATAAGCTTCAGCATTTTTCTTGATCCAGTTGCTCTGTTCTTGATCAGGTGCAGCAGTTGAAGGGGGAGTGTTTTGGCCGATGTAGATAGGCCAAAGATCAAGAAGAGTGGCGGCTTGTTGAAAGCGGATGCTCCATGATGAAAAACCTTTGCCGTTGAAGCGTGGAAGCTCCAATTTGGGGACTAAGGAGGAGGTAAATGTAGATGTAGTAGGTGGTGTAGATGGAGATGATGTGTTGGTTGTAGGAGGTGCTGATTCGTTTGAAGAGTTTGTGGTTACAGCTGGTGAAGTTGATCCCATAGGAACACTTGAGTCCTTTTCATCCATGTTGGTAAATTAAAACTCCTGATACAATCAAACAATTTCACACAAGGGGAAGGGGAAATAGACAAACACACACACACAGACACACACATACACAAACACACAAAAACAAAAAAGGGGAAACACAAAAAGGAGGACCCAAAAGGGGGCGCAAGACCAAGTGCAAGGATGCCACTAATGGCAAATAACGGGCTTAAAAAAACAAACTAGACAAGATGCGCACGGAAGAAACAGCAAAAAGGAATGAACTCGGGCTCTGATACCATCTTGAAATTGAAGTTATAGACGAGGGAGGGTAAATGGTAAGGAGAAAGAAAGAAAACACCTAGAAAGAAAAGGTAAGATCAAAGTAAAACCAAGTTGAAAAGCAAAAACAAGTTGAAAGGAAATCTTGAAGTATGGAGTAATTAAGAATGAAGAAAGTTTTGAAGGAGAAGGTAAAAGGGACCAAACAAGATTGGCTTAAAAGAAAGTATTGAAGAAAAGGTAAAGGGCTTGAAAGATACTTGAAAGGAACTTGTAACGAACTTGAGAATAAGAACTTGATTATTATGGAAAGAGCTTGAATATAAAACAACTTGATAATAGCAAATGAACTTTGATGTAAAAGAAACTTGGTGAAAAATGAGAGGAAGGGATAATCACTTACTTGAAAAGAGTTCTTACTATTATGTTGTAGAAGTTGATCTTCACTTCAAGCTTAAATGTTGTCTTAGTTGTTAATGAAGAACCTCAAAGCTTGAATGTTGAGAAGTTGATCTTGAATGTTGACTTGTAGATAATGTTTGTTGAATGAAGAGAAACCTCCAAGCTTGGATGTTGAGGTTGGAGCTTGGACCTTGGGTAGAAGAATACACCAATCTTGCTTGAAGCTTTAAAGTACATTAATCAAAGGGAGGTACATGGTAGGATCTTGAGATCAACTATCCTTGATGATCTAGAAGTAAAACTATGTGGCACAAACTTCTCTAGAATTGGAGCATATGGCTATGAGCTTGGGTTGGGAGAGGTTGGTGGTGATGATGAAGCCTTAGGAGTTGGAGCATAAGGAGGAGGACTTGAGGTTGGCCTTGAGGGAGTTTGAAGAACTTGTTGAGAGTTTGGGTATGAAGTAGCATTGAAGAATATTTTTTTTGAAGAAATGAAGAGGACCCTTTTGTATTTGGTGGAGCTTGATGTTGGATGAAGGATGAGGAAAAGATGAATGGTTGTGATTGGTTGAGTTGGATAAGATGGGGGTGATGAATGTGGCCTTGAAGTGAAGGCTTGGTGAAGAGAAATGAATGTGGCCTTGAAGTTAAGGCTTGGTGAATGGGATGTATTTGGCTTTGATTTTAAGGCTTGGTGAGTGGAATGAATGTGGCTTGGATTGGAAGGCTTGGTATGGAATCTTTTGTTTGATTGGTGGATAATGGGATGAGAAAGATGATGAGGATAGGAGGAGAGTTGAGGTGGAGGATTGATAGGTTTTGATTGGTAGGTTTTTGCTGTCTGGAGATAGGAAGGGTGTGGTGGCGAGTGGGCATTTTTGCAAGATGCCTTTTGCATATTCGGATTTTGGCTGACGGGGAAATTGCGGCGAAAAATTTCGCCACGTGAAATATTTCCCGCCACCCTGGTGCCACGCGAGCAGCAGCCACAGTTCACTGCAACACCCCCCCGCACTGCTGACCCTCAGAGCGAGACGAAGGAGCGGAAGGGACAGCAGTGGAGAAGGACTCAAGAGACTCGAGCGGCACCAATCCAACACGGTGGCGTCCAAGGACGAATAGGTGCCGTGGAAGTATCTTAGTCAGAAAATCAGCAGCCTGGTCCGTGGTGCTGCAGTAGACCGGTGTCACAACCTTGTTCTTAATCAGCTCCCGAATGTAGTGATACTGGGTATCAATATGCTTGGTGCGTCCATGATAGACCGGGTTCTTGCTCAAGGCGATTGCCGACGTGTTGTCAATGTGGAGAACGGTCGGCTCAAGCTGGGGAAGACCCAACTCCATCAGCAACCCTCGCAACCACACAGCCTCTCTTGCTCCTTGCGTCACAGCCATGTACTCCGCTTCCGTTGAAGATAGTGCCACACAGCCTTGCTTCTTCGATTGCCAAGAAATCGCTGCTCCCGCCATCACAAACATGTAGCCTCCCGTGGATTTACGCTTTGAAAATGGACCTGCCCAATCCGCATCCGTAAAGCCATGCAAGACACTACCATGCTCATGTCTATGAAAGAGGAGACCAAATGAGCAGCAGCCACAGTTCACTGCAACAGAAACGAGGACAATCGATGACAGCAGTACATCAACTTGCGCGGCAGCTTACAGCCTGGCTGGGATCCGTCGAACTTCCAGAAGGCTACGTCAGTTTCTTGTAAACTCCGATTCCGTCTGGCGTCAAGCGAGAGTGTGTCAAGTCGAATGCACTCCCGCTCACCACTTCTCCATCCCACTTTTGCCTTACGGTAAGTCTCGGAACGGTTGTCCTCCGAGACTGTCACTGTCGGGGATCTTCAGTGCGGAATCCGATTCTCTCTGTGCGGAGACTGTCACTGTCGGGGATCTTCAGTGCGGAATCCGATTCTCACTGTGCGGAGACTGTCACTGTCACTAAAGAGTCTTTCGTGCGGCATTCTGTTGATGCCGCTCCCTCGCCCCCTTTTTTCTGGGATCGCTACCGTAGCCCTTCTGATGGCTCCCCGGCGGCATTGTCACAAGCAGCAAATAAAGCTCGATTCAGAAAAGGCGCTCTTAGGAGTGGAGAGCGACGAGAGTGCCGAGGGAAGAAACATTTTTTGTCGGCTGACGGAGCTACTAGTAGACTCGAATAGCCGCGGCTTCGTCCGCGGAGGCGCGAAGCGATTGCTCTGGTGGCTGATGCTGGCCGTCATCGCTGCTTTAACTGCGAGAACTCTATTATTGCATCGCGGAAAAGGCAAGTGCATTTCCTACAAAAAAAAACACACTCACACACACGTCCCAAGCAGCTCCCAGAAGACCACAAGCCCAAAGTCACGAATACGTCATTTTCGGGGCTTGCCTTTTCCGTGATGTGGGTAGTAACGAAGGGTAGCTTCTTTTTTTCTTTCCGCTATCTCCATTTCTAGCCTCCTCCGCCGTGCGGGAGTTCAGGCTCTTGGGATACATTTCCGCCATTCAGACCCTGATTCACTGGATGGATTGAATGGCTGAACTGGCAGTTTGGCTGATGCCGTTTCACATTGGTGGTGATCGTATTGGCTATAAAAATAACTTTGCAGCAGCATACATGATTTGATGGCACATGATTTTGTCCGCAAAGCATATTTCCGGCGCTTTTGGGGACGAAATTGGGACAGATTGGATCTATACGCGGTATAGATCGTCGTCTGTCCCTTCCCTCCGCCCATTCCAACCTTTCCTACACCTCACCCCCCCTCATTCCCCTCCGCCGTCCCTACATCCGCACCTGTCCTCCCCACCCCAGCGCTTAAAGCAGCCGCAAAGGAAGCCGCACTGGAAGCCGCAGCTGCAAAAGTAGAAGCAGCATCAGGAGAAGCAGCGGAGCAGTATAGGCGCACCGTCCACCAAGGCGACCAGGAAGTCCAGGAAGGTCGGCATAGCCATGGCGCTCAGGATGGGGTGGACATCTCGTATACAGTGGAATTCGGTTACGAGCTACTCACCGTCCTCCCACTGGCCTACTGGCACCATCTGAACGGCTCACTCCGCTCCACCACCTCATGTGGGCGTGACTCCTTGTCTCTGCTCTACTACTTCAGCCCCAACCACACAGACAATGCTACGTGTCATCGAGCCGGCAAGGATTTCAAGGATGCGATGCATGGCTTTTATGGAGGTAAATTCCCGCCAGCCTGGCAGGCACCCCCTCTTGCCAACCACTTCAGGAAGCTTCCTTCCGTGTGGCCAGAGATTTCTATGGGATCCCAGCTGGTGGTTATCGGGAATAAATACGAGCGGGAATACAAACACGCACCGGTAAATTTTATCGATTTACCAACTCTACTGACAATCGTCGACTCGTTTTTGAAGGCTGGTTTTTATGTGGTGTACAACAACCCGGGAATGTCGCTGCAGTTTGACGCCTGGCAGGTGGTCCGTGATGAAAAGGACTTGGGAGATTATGAGGCGCTGCAGCAGCGGTTTGGGGAGAATCCACGGTTCCAGATCATGCAGAACCTCCAGAAGCGGTGGCCGGGATTGAGTTTCAACGATGTGCAGTTCAGGATGCTGGCGCGGAGTGCGTGTTTCGTGAGTGTGCAGGGAGGGGGCTGTACACTCCAGAGCTACTTTGGCGGCACCCATATCGTCTATTTTCGTGAGGGGCATGAGTTTGAAATCGGGGCATACGAACGGATTTACCCTCGGCTGTCGGGAGTGAAGATGAGGGTGGTAACCAGCTATAAGGGGCTGGCGAGGAAGGTGCACGGGATGATCAAGAGCAACAAGTGCTATGCACAACAGCAATAGCCATGTGATTCCGTGCAGGACCAGGAGAGAGCGTCATTCAGAAAGGACGTCAACTGTACCTGGATGGGAATCTGGGTTAGGCAGAGGGGCAAGGCTAATACGGTACTGTATGTATGCAGACGATTAAGGTCCGAGTTGTCCTTGTAAACTACAGCTTGAATGAAATCTGTGCATGTGCAACATATTTGAGTCCCGGCATGGCATGGCATGACCTTGCGTGGCATATCATGGCATGTCACGGGGCGGGATGGGATGGAACGGGCCGCACGGGACGCGCGTCGGGGGGGGAGGGGGGGGGAGGGAGGGGGAGGGGTGGGGGAGTGCGGGGTTGTGCGCAGTGGAGGAGTTCAAGCGCGGGCAGCGCTACGCCAACGAGGATGCCACGGAGCCCGGCCAGGGCGGCCACGGCCCTCCTTCCCCTCCCTCCCCTCCCTCCGCTCCCTCCCCTCCCTCCCCTCCCTCCCCTCCCTCCCCTCCCTCCCCTCCCTCCCCTCCCCTCCCCTTCATCCAGACCTGGGTCATCCGCTCTCCCTCTGCTTCGAGCAGCCCCCACTGCTGTGCCCCCTCTGCACTGCACGCACGCAGCACCAGGGCATGCAGCAGCAGGGCGGGCAGCAGGGTGGGGGAGAGAAGTCAGAAGGAGGTGGCAGTGCGGCACTGCAGCAGTGCCAAGAGTCTGCGCCGGCTGTGTTCTGTGTGTCATGTGGCCAGTTCTTCTGCCCCCGCTGTTTCCATTTGCCTACCCCATTCCCTTGCGCCCCATATCCCAGGCCCCATGTTCCCATACTTCGTACCCCGTGCTTTGTGCCCCATGCGCCATGCCCCACGCCCCATGCCCCATGCGCCATGCCCCACGCCCCATGCCCATGCGCCATGCCCCATGCCCCATGCCCCATGCGCCATGCCCCATGCCCCATGCCCCATGCGCCATGCCCCATGCCCCATGCCCCATGCCCCATGCGCCATGCCCCATGCCCCATGCGCCATGCCCCATGCCCCATGCCCCATGCCCCATCCCCCATGCCCCATGCCCCATGCCCCATGCCCCATGCCCCATGCACCAATGACAGTTCCACATCACGCCTCGCCCGCAGCAGCACGCCATACACCCCGTGGCTCCTTCCCAGAAGTTTCCTTCTGGCATTCGCGCTGACAGCTGCTGCGCCGAGGCAGCCCGCATGCTTCTTTGACTGTCCTTGGATTTGTTCTCTTTCCTTTTCTTTCATTTTGCTGCTAGGCTAGTCTCTTTGTTTGGTGCTGGCAGGCTGTGCATGGACCTTCCATCCTCCGCCTCTTCACTTGTGGCCAGCAAACCGGCCCATTCTCGATCCTGTTTTCTGGTAACAAGGTACAGAAGACGCTATGTGGACGGAATATGGAGGCGAAATGCAGGTCCTTCGCACCAGCTGCTACCAGTATTTATTTGTGATCTGTATCGCATTATTGCGGAGTTCTTTGTTTGTCTCGCATCAAACCCAGTACTGCCCACTAGTAAATGAGATCAAACTCCGAATTCGGCATAAAGGCATGTGTATAAGGCCTTTATTATATCAAAGTCAGTGTGCTTTCTTCGTACACTTCTCTTCCCAAGAGTGCTGTAGGTAAATGGGCTGGTGGAAAGGTATAGAAGAGGGAGCCACGATTTGGGCGATGATGGCATTTGCGGTAGCTTGAAAAGAAGCATGAATATGACTCAATGGGCTTGGTTTGTGCTTGTTTGTACCCTCTTCATTATATAGAAACAGTCGGGAGCTAGGGGCGTATAAGTGCAGAGTGATACAGTATGTTCATATGATACAGTTTCCTCTCGGAGAGCTGGCTGCAAATCAACAGCTCCTCCTCAGGGAGCTCATGGTCGCCTTTCACTTTCAAGGGTCGTCAAGGATCGCAGTGATCGCAAGATGTCGCAAGAACCACGCGGTTACGACAGGACGACAGGGTGGTACACTCCGCATCACGAGTCGCGTATCGCATCACCCGCACGCTCCGACATCACGTCACGTCGTTCAAACACTAGCAGGGCTGCTGTGTCAACCAACCAAGCCTGACAAACTAGGGCCACAAAAGGGCCAACAAGCCGCTGCTTCGGGCCGAACAATTGCGGTGCCTTTAGATGCAGCACGAACCTTACCCAATTTCTGCCCTGGTGGATAGGACTTGCTGTAGGGCAGGGGAGTACAGTGCTTCGTTTCTTGATGACATTCCACTTTGCAAGTATTTGGCGCAGTTTGCAACAGGACTACCTAAAAACTTGGAAGTACAAAAACTTGGAAGTCAAAAACCTCTGCCCGCCTCTTCACTCGCGTTTACAGCCAGAGCCTTGTCAGGGGGACATATCCACGATGAACCCCCAACGGCTTAGGTTCGGTGAAGGTGCCGAACCAGCTGTCCCCAAATTTGGAAAATTCCACCAATCGCATGAGGAATCCGTCAACCTTGGCCCCTTCGCCTTTCCAAACCACATCGCCGCCGCCATCGTTTAACGCGACGCGGTCGCTTCTTCCCCCGCACCCTCGGTCTTGGTGAAATCCGTTCAGTCCATTTCTACTATTCTTGCCTCAGAAATAGCCCTCCCTCACACGGAACACCCCGCCTTTTCCCCACCCCAAGCACAGCCCGCATTTGACCACATCACAACGCAATATTCCTTTTTCTCCATACTATTTTCCTTCACGATAAATATTTTTCCTCGTATGGATCGGACGGCTAATCATGGTCCGCGCTGTTCCAAGCGCTCCTGGGACGCTGCTGTCGAGAACGGAATGCCAGTAAACGGCGAGCGAAGCGCTATAGGATGTAACCATACGGGCATCGCCTGTTGCAAAAGCGGCATCGAGCGGCATCGGATGTACTCCGACGAGGAAAATGAATGTTCGAGTGGCCTCGAGAATGTCGATTGCTGCGATCGCGCGATTCTGCCGCCCTCTGGAAAACCGTTCTGGTTGACCCTGCTAGTCTCTAAGGGATTTGTCCGCGGAGGCGCTAAGAGACTCCTATGCTGGTTGATGCTGGCCGTCGTCACTGCGTCACTAACTGCTAAAATCTTCTTCTCGGGTAAAATTAGCACGCCGAGTCTTCCCCACTTTCCCTCCATTTTCCATTCTCCTCTTCTACGTACACGTCAGCATTAGTTGCATCACTGCAGAGAATTCTCAAAGGTGACACACGCATCGTGAGCATCAATTGCATCATACAATGTCAAACTTTTGAGATCGTCATCTCCCGTCACGGGGAAAAGGGACGGTCCCCTCTCCTTGCCCATTCGCCTCGTTCCCCTCATTCCGCTTCGCCCTTTTCCCCCCTTTCGCTCCTGTCGTTTCCCCGCCACGCCCCTTGTGCGCACGCACCCGCGCGCCAGGCTCGCCTCTTGACTGCATGGTCGATCCGCCGCTCGACGCCGCCCATCCCGCCTGTGAGTGCGCGCTGATGCGATTCCATGTCTTGCCCGCCTGTGAGTGCGCGCTGATGCGATTCCATGTCTTTCCCGCCTGTGAGTGCGCGCTGATGCGATCCCATGTCTTGCCCGCCTGTGAGTGCGCGCTGATGCGATTCCATGTCTTGCCCGCCTGTGAGTGCGCGCTGATGCGATTCCATGTCTTGCCCGCCTGTGAGTGCGCGCTGATGCGATCCCATGTCTTGCCCGCCCGTGAGTTCGCGCGATTGCACTTTGAGGCCTTGCCCGCGTGCCCGCTTGAAGTGCCCGCTCGAATCATCTGTGGCTGTTCGACTATTGGAACAAAAATGACGAGAAAACTCGAGGCACAAATTGCGGTGTACGAGCCACGTAGCACGAATATCCACCCTTCTGCTTTTCTTGATCGCTCTTCGTTGATTCTTCCCGCTGTTTCATCCCTCTCGATTCCCGTAACGACTCTCCCACGATTTCTCTTCTGCGTGTCTTCCCAACGTTCCCTCACAGGGGAAGAGTCCGCCGACCATTCTTCCGCTTATGCCGCCGACACAGTCTCATTGCGCCAGTTCCTCCGTCGCGCAGCATCGGGGGACGGCGGAAGCGTCGGCGTCGCTCCATGGCGCATTTGGGGCTGCCATACGGGGGGACGGCGCGGAGAAAGGGCGCAAGTAAGGGCGGGGCTGGGTATGGATAGCTTGGTGGTGCGGACCACGGCGGAAGCGACGGGGAACAGGGTCGGGGGAAGCGGACAAGTGAAGGGGGCCGCAGCAGAGCGGGGGGAACTGGTGGATGGGGTAGCAGCAGATGGGAAAAGGAGAGTAAATTCTGGAGAGGATGGGGAGATGGGTGGAGGAGAGGAGGAAGAAGGGAGATGGGTGAGAGGGAGAGGGAGCCGCACTGGCAGAGAGGGGGGAAGTGGGGAGGGTGATGGAGAGGTGTTGGGTTATGGGAAAGACGAGTCAGAGGCAATGGAAGGGGTGGTGAAAGCAGGGACAGCGTCACAAGAAACTCCAACAGAAGTGACGGCAATGAAAGAGGCGGCAACATCGGAAGAAACAGCAGCAGAAACAGAAGAAGCAGCGGCAGCGCAAGAAATAGCCGCAGCAGTGGAAACCATAACTGCAGAAGCTGTCGAGACAACAGAAACACCAGCACATCCCCTCAACCCCCCCATGCAACCACAGCTACCCCCCCAATCCCAGGATGATGGTCAGGATGCTACAGGTGAGAAGAATGGCAAGGATGGCATGGGTGGCACGGGTGGGGTGGACATCTTCTTTCAGGGCGAGTTTGGGTACGAGTTAATCGCCGTCCTCCCATTCGCCTACTGGCACCATCTCAACGGCTCCCTCCGCTCCACCACCTCCTGCGGGCGGCATTCCTTGGCCTCACTTTACTACTTCAGCCCCAACCACACAGACGACGCCACGTGTCATCGCAGTGACATGAAGGACAATGTCGCTGCATACGGGTTTCCTGGTGGCATTCATTATAGTCACATCCCTCCAACCTGGCAGCCGCCCCCTCTTGCTTACTACTTCAGGAAGCTTCCCCCTGTATGGCCGGAGATTCCCAAGGGATCCCGATTGGTAGTTATTGGGAATAAATACGAGCGGGAGTGGGGCCATTCACCAGTGAATTTCATTGATTTACCGACTTTATTGGGAATTGTTGGCGCGTATTTAGAGGCGGGATTTTATGTGTTGTACAACAACCCGGGGATGTCATTGGAGTCAGACCATCGGCAGGTTATTAAGGACGGCACAGATTTGGGGGACTATGAGGCGTTACAGAAGCGGTTTGGGGAGAATCCACGGCTTCAGATCATGCAAAATCTTCAAAAGCGGTGGCCAGACTTGGGGTTCAATGTCGTGCAGTTCAGGATGCTGGCACGGAGTGTGTGTTTTGTGAGTGTGCAGGGAGGGGGCAGCATAGTGGAGAGCTTCTTTGGTGGAAAGAATATAATATACTTTCGTGAGGGTCAGGAGGTGAAAGGCAGGGCATATGAGAGGATTTACCCGCAGCTGTCTGGAGCCAAGGTGAAGGTGGTGACCAGCTATGAAGGGCTGGTGAAGAAGGTGGATGGGATGATCAAGAAGAACAAGTGCCATGTGAAACTTCACTAGTCATATGTGCTCTTGCGAGACCTGACTAAGGAAGGATGTCAACTGTATTTTAGTGAATTCTGGGCTATGGGGTGGAAATAAGCATTAGGTATTGTATGCAGACTCATTACAGAAGCCTACCGTAGTTGTCTTATACTACATATAGATGAGTAGAGTTAGGGTGTATTTTAACGTTATTGTGCGAATAGTGTATCAGATAATGTACGAATACCGTTGGAAGGAACCTGTTACAGCACTGCAAGAAGCTAAACGTGGAGACTACCGCGACTTCCACGTGGCAGGTTCTCTCGCCAGTCAAATTCCACCAGCCGCCTGATTGGCTCGGCAACTCAGCATCGTAAATGCAGCCCCCCAAACTCCCTCCAGCTTGTTCCCCCTCGTGCGCCCATTCGCGCCATTTCTGTAATTTGCACTACCACACTCAACCAGCTTCCACTCCCCAAAATTGCTTCCGCGCCCCACATGCCCTTCCCTGCGCACCAATTTCCCAACCCAATTCACAGATATAGCCGCGCGGAACTTTCTGAGGTTGCGCGATAACGGTACAGACGCTTCGCCCACATTGCGATAATCGCCCACATTGCGATAATCGCCCACATTGAGGTTCCGCCTAATCAGCTCTAGCTGGCAGCCTGACAGTACCTCGAGCTGTCAGCCAGCTTCATTTCTAACGGAGTCCTGCTTATCTAGTAGACGGCACTCTTCCTTGTCTGACTTGCCACTTCCCACGGGCTCATGAAATGGACTCACAAAAACATTTTGTACCTCTCGCCTATCTCATAATCGCCTAATTTCACGCACGTTCTATCGCATATTACGCAAATTACGCAGATTAGGGCCCCGAGTTCGAATTTACGCGATTTAGGATCCGCGATTTAAAGTAGTTAACCTGCAAGCAGCTGCTCCATCCCAGCCGCAGCCGCTTACGCAGTCCCTTATACTACTGCAAGGCCAAATACAGCGCTGACACCGTGTCAATGGTGCATCTAACGGAGCTGCGCATCGTGCTGCCCTTCACATGTGCGTGTCAGGGGGGGTGGGTCGGCGGGAGAAATGTGGAGGACGGGTGGATACGCGGAAAACGATGGGGCGCCGAAGCGCTCCTGGGATCTGGACTGAATAAGCAACTGATTGTTCTTCCGCCTCCCCTCCCCTTCGCGCTCCCTCCATGTCCTCAGCTCCTTCTCCTTTCCCCTGGTTCTTTCCTTGCTGATTCCTTCAAGTCCTTCTCCCTGCACATTCCGGGCATGGCATGGCATGTCATGTCATGGCATGGTATGGCATGGCGTGAAAATGAAATGGCATGGCACGGGGCGGAACGGGATGGAACGGGACGCCACGGGCCGCGCGCGGCGGGGGGCGGGGGAGTGCGGGGCGGGGGAGTGCGCGCAGTGGAGGAGTTCAAGCGCGGGCAGCGCTACGCCAACTGGCGCACCAACGAGGATGCCACGGAACCCGGCCAGGGCGGCACTGTCAGTCGCCCCCCTCCCTCCCCTCCCTCCCCTCCCTCCCCTCCCTCCCCTCCCTCCCCTCACTCCCCACCCTCCCTTCCCTGCCTCCCCTCCCTGCCCTCTCTGTCCCTCCACCCCTCCCCCTCTCGCTGCTTTGAGTCCCTACCCAGTTCCCTGCTTCGAGTCCTCCCAATTCTCCCCTCCTTCTGCACGCGCTGCTACCTGTCATCACACTTTTTTCCCGCACTACCTCTCTCTCCCCCAGCTGCTGTCATCAACGCCCTACTACCACGAGCAGCACGGGGAGGGGCTCTTCACGCACAGCCTCTTCCGCCTCGGCAACCGCCTCCCTGATTGGGTGGGTACCCACCACAGCAACCGCGCACTCAATGCTACTCTCTTCCTCTCAGTACTACTCAATACTTATCCGGCTGATTGACGTGCTTGCTCTGCACGCTCAGTGCCTGCGTAACGACGAATTGATCCAAAGGCTTTTTTTTTTTCTTTCGTGCATGTGTTGTGCTGTGCGCATGCGCTGTGTGCTCTTCACCTGGCTCGCTCGCGTGCATGTGCCGTTTGCACGCATGCAGGTGAACCGGCTGGTGCCGCCATCGGCTCTGGTGGTGGATGAGAAGAGCTGGATCAACTACCCCTACTTCCGCACCATCATCACCATCCCCTTCTTTAGCAAGGTGCATGTCGGCCATGCATGCATGTGTTGCCGTCCCATCCCCTATCACCCTCATCACCCTCATCACCCTCATCACCCTCATCACCCTCATCCCCTTTCCTCTTCCCCACTCACTCATGGAGATAGACACCAATCACCTGCAGGACAACGGCTCGCACCCCAACGCCATGGGGTTGTCTTGTGCCTCTCCTTTCGCCCTTCTAGAACCTACTCTTCCCCGTTCCCCCCTCCCCCCACCCCCTCTCCCCAAATGCGCATGGAGATTGAGACCATTCACCTGCAGGACGACGGTTCCCCCCCTGGTGTCTGAAAGGGGCTCTTGTGTCATCCCTCCTTTCACCCTTGTACAACGTCTTCCCCTCCTGAGTCGACTCAAAACGAGGTGACTTTTGAGTCGACTCAAAAGTCACCTGAAGGGGGCTCTTGTGTCATCCCTCCTTTCACCCTTGTACAACGTCTGCCCCTTCCACCCTCCTCCCCCCCCCCACCCACCCTATCTCCCCAGCTGCGCATGGAGATAGAGACCATCCACCTGCAGGACGACGGTTCTCACTCCAACGCCTTCGGGCTCCCTGTTAGCTCTCCCTGTTAGCTCCCTCCTCTCCACCCCCTTCCCCCCTCCCCAGCTGCGCATGGAGATAGAGACCATCCACCTGCAGGACGACGGTTCTCACTCCAACGCCGTCAGGCTCTCTTGCTGCCCCTCCTTTCTCCCTTCTAAGGCCTTATCCCCTTCCCTTTCCCCCCAACCCCCCACCCTCTCTCCCCAGCTGCGCATGGAGATCGAGACCATTCACCTGCAGGACGACGGCTCGAACCCCAACGCCTTCGGGCTCCCAGTTAGCACCCTTCTAAAACCCTTTCCCCTCCCCCCCACCCCCTTCCCCCTCTCAGCTACGCATGGAGATAGAGACCATTCACCTGCAGGATGACGGCTCTCACCCCAACGCCTTGGGATTGTCACCAGCAGAGCTGGCGCTGCGGCGGGTGGACTGCATGGACATCGGCAGTGAACCCGTGGCTAGAAGGGACTACAAGGCGGAGCTCGACCCGCTGCTGGTCCACTCCAAGCTTACAGGGTGAGTCAACACCAGTCAACTGAAGTCATGCCTTGGGATTGTGGGGGCGCTGCGGCGCGTGGACTGGATGGACATTGGTAGTGAACCCGTGGCTAGAAGGGACTACAAGGCGGAGCTCGACCCGCTGCTGGTCAAATCAACGCTCACAGGGTGAGTCAACACCAGTCAACGCTAGTCAATTCAAGTCAACGTCTAGCAGGGGTGAGTCCGTGCTGGACGTCTCGTGCCTCGTCCATCCCTCTTCCCATTTCCCACCCTCTCTCATCTACCCTCGATTCCCCCTCCTGCACCAGGCGAGGCCCCCTAACCCCGGGGTGGCAGAAGAGGGAGCGGCCGCTCATGTGTGCGTACAAGGTGGTGGCACGCCTCATCCCACTCTACCCTCATCTCCCACCCTCTGCCCCCCCTCCTACCCCAGGCGAGGCCCCCTAACCCCGGGGTGGCAGCAGAGGGAGCGGCCGCTCATGTGTGCGTACAAGGTGACGGTGGTGCTATTTCGTGTGACTTATCTATCTCTCTTCCCATCTTCCCCTCCCTCCCCCACCAGTCGCGGCCCCCTAACCCTGGGGTGGCAGAAGAGGGAGCGGCCCCTCATGTGTGCGTACAAGGTGGTGCGCGCACAGGCGGAGTACTGGGGCGTGCAGAACAGTGCAGAGCGGCTGCTCATCAACTCGCTCAGGCAGGTGCGTGGGTGTGGGTGTGGGGGTGGGTGGGATGTGGTTGAGTAGGGGGGCTGGTGCTGCTGCCTCATCCCAGCACAGGCGGATTACTGGGGCGTGCAGAACAGTGCAGAGCGGCTGCTCATCAACTCGCTCAGGCAGGTGCGTGGGGGCAGGTGGGTGTGCTTATGGGTGTGGGCGTGGGTGAGGGTGTGGGAATGCGTGCGTGTGCTGGTGCTGCTGCCTCATCCCAGCACAGGCGGATTACTGGGGTGTGCAGAACAGCGCAGAGAGGCTGCTTATTAACTCGCTCAGGCAGGTGCGTGGGTATGGTTGATGTGATGCAATGCAACACCTTGCCATGCCACCCGCGTCACACTTCTACGTCCAGACAATCAACACCGGCCGTTTTAAGTCTTCCTTTCCACAACGCTCTTCTCCCCCTCATCTCCCCCCCTCCCACTCCCTCCCCTCCCCCTCTTCCACCAGATCTTCCTACTAACGCACAAGAACTGCTTCGGGCTCTTGGATCACTGGTACGCAGTGGCAGCACAGTGTGCTTTGCCCTGCCATACCATACCCCACCACGCCCCCCTGAAGCCCCCTTTCCCCTCCCCTCCCCCTCCCCACCAGATCTTCCTGTTAGCACACAAGAACTGCTTCGGCCTCTTGGACCACTGGTACCCGCTCTCCCTGAAACAGGTTAGTCAACCCCCCCTCCTTTTTTGAGTCCATTTAACAACAGATCACTGCTACCTGCTCTCTCTTGAATAGGTCCCCCCCTTCCCCCCTTGCCCTGGCCTCATCCATACGCTCTCCCCCAAACTCTCCCCTGCACTCTTCCCCACAATCTTTTCTCCCTCACTCTTTCTCTCTCACACACATCCCCCACTTTCCATACCCAAAGTCTCTCTTCCACTCCTCTCCTCCTCCCCCTCCGCTCTCCTCCCTTCCCTCCTCTCCCTTTCTCACACCCACCCCCACTCCCCCCTTTGCCTCCCCTCAGATCCTTGCAATCACGGAGAAGCACAACCCACAGGTTCAGCTCCCAAAGCCCCTCCCTCCTCCTTTCCCTCCCCCCTCCCCTTTTCTCGCACCCTCGCTCCCCCCTCCGCCTCCCCTCAGATCCTTGCAATCACGGAGAAGCACAAACCACAGGTTAAGCTCCCAAAGCCCCTCCCTCCTCCCGAACCTCCCTCCGAACCTGAAGCTCGTAGCAAGAGGGAGGGGATGCTAGCAGGTGGTGTGGACGAGGGGAGGGAGGGGAGGAGGGATGGGCTGCTCTCAGAGAGTGAGGGAGGTGAGGGGGAGGAGACGGAGGAATCAGAGGAGGAGGATGAGGAGTGGGACGATGAAGTGGAGTTCTACGAAGCACAGGTGAGAACTATGAAGGTGAGAACTATGAAGGTAAGAACGCCACTTGCTTATGGCAGGTGAGAACGCCACTTGCTTATGGCAGGTGAGAACGCCACTTGCTTATGGCAGGTGAGAACGCCACTTGCTTATGGCAGGTGAGAACGCCACTTGCTTATGGCAGGTGAGAACGCCACTTGCTTATGGCAGGTGAGAACGCCACTTGCTTGTGGCAGGTGAGAACGCCACTTGCTTATGGCAGGTGAGAACGCCACTTGCTTATGGCAGGTGAGAACGCCACTTGCTTATGGCAGGTGCGAACGCCACTTGCTTATGGCAGGTGAGAACGCCACTTGCTTATGGCAGGTGAGAACGCCACTTGCTTATGGCAGGTGAGAACGCCACTTGCTTATGGCAGGTGAGAACGCCACTTGCTTATGGCAGGTGAGAACGCCACTTGCTTATGGCAGGTGAGAACGCCACTTGCTTATGGCAGGTGAGAACGCCACTTGCTTATGGCAGGTGAGAACGCCACTTGCTTATGGCAGGTGAGAACGCCACTTGCTTATGGCAGGTGAGAACGCCACTTGCTTATGGCAGGTGCGAACGCCACTTGCTTATGGCAGGTGAGAACGCCACTTGCTTATGGCAGGTGAGAACGCCACTTGCTTATGGCAGGTGAGAACGCCACTTGCTTATGGCAGGTGAGAACGCCACTTGCTTATGGCAGGTGAGAACGCCACTTGCTTATGGCAGGTGAGAACGCCACTTGCTTGTGGCAGGTGAGAACGCCACTTGCTTATGGCAGGTGAGAACGCCACTTGCTTATGGCAGGTGAGAACGCCACTTGCTTATGGCAGGTGCGAACGCCACTTGCTTATGGCAGGTGAGAACGCCACTTGCTTATGGCAGGTGAGAACGCCACTTGCTTATGGCAGGTGAGAACGCCACTTGCTTATGGCAGGTGAGAACGCCACTTGCTTATGGCAGGTGAGAACGCCACTTGCTTATGGCAGGTGAGAACGCCACTTGCTTATGGCAGGTGAGAACGCCACTTGCTTATGGCAGGTGCGAACGCCACTTGCTTATGGCAGGTGAGAACGCCACTTGCTTATGGCAGGTGAGAACGCCACTTGCTTATGGCAGGTGAGAACGCCACTTGCTTATGGCAGGTGAGAACGCCACTTGCTTATGGCAGGTGAGAACGCCACTTGCTTATGGCAGGTGAGAACGCCACTTGCTTATGGCAGGTGAGAACGCCACTTGCTTATGGCAGGTGAGAACGCCACTTGCTTATGGCAGGTGAGAACGCCACTTGCTTATGGCAGGTGAGAACGCCACTTGCTTATGGCAGGTGAGAACGCCACTTGCTTATGGCAGGTGAGAACGCCACTTGCTTATGGCAGGTGAGAACGCCACTTGCTTATGGCAGGTGAGAGATGCGCCTGCCACGCTCAACTTGCTTTCAACTCCATAGCAGAACAGTTCAGCCAGATGGCTGTTCATACCAAAACGCTCTTAAAGCCAGGGTCTCAAGTAGACCAAGTGTTTTGCAGTCGATGAAAAAGGGCCTGTTTGATTGGTTTAAAAATCTGGGGCCAAAGTTTTGTCAAATCGAAACTCGCCCAAGTATTTTGCAGTTGCATGGCCAACCCGTACATGAGACCCTGGCTTTAATGCATACAACCAACGCTTAATCACCCCTGGTGATTCTACTGTGAATTGTAGCTGTTCCGAGTCCTCACAATGTCCCTTGCTCGCTCTCCCCTGTGCCTTCTTCCATTCTGTGTGGCTGCAGATGCAGTGGGCGGCAGAGGAAGAGCTCTTTGGAGAGAAGATGCTCTCAGGTGAGCTGTTGACTTCAGGTGAAATCACAGGGCGAAATGGTGTGCCGCCCCCACCTCTCTCCCCCGTCCTTTGAAGCGCCTCAAAGGGCGAAATGGCGTGCCGCCCCCACATCTCTCCCCCGTCCTTTGAAGCGCCTCAAAGGGCGAAATGGTGTGCCGCCCCCACCTCTCTCCCCCGTCCTTTGAAGCACCTCAAAGGGCGAAATGGTGTGCCGCCCCCACCTCTCTCCCCCGTCCTTTGAAGCGCCTCAAAGGGCGAAATGGTGTGCCGCCCCCACCTCTCTCCCCCGTCCTTTGAAGCGCCTCAAAGGGCAAAATGGTGTGCCGCCCCCACCTCTCTTCCCCGTCCCCCACTTGTGCCTGCTTGTGGCCCATTGTGTCCCATTCGTTCAACCAGTCCATGCACCCATCTCACCCTTCCGCCCCCCTCCTCCCTCCCCACTTCCCACTCTCTCACCCCCATCCAGACCTGGGCCATCCGCTCTCCCTCTGCTTCGAGCAGCCCCCGCCCCCTCTGCTGTGCGCGCACGCAGCAGCAATCACAGCAGCAATCTATCCGTTTCCCACTCCCCACTCTCTCTGTGCCCTCCCCCTCTCACCATCCAGACCTGGGCCATCCGCTCTCCCTCTGCTTAAAGCAGCCCCCGCCCCTCTGCCCCCTCTGCTGTGCTCGCACGCACCACCAGGGCGGGCAGCAGGGCGGGCAGCGAGAGGGGAGAGAGAGGTCAGCGGAAGCTGGCAGTGCAGTGCAAGAGTGTGCACCGGCTGTGTTCTGTGTGTCGTGTGGCGAGTTCTTCTGCCACCGCTGTTTCCACGAGGTGAGGTTAGGGGAGATGAGTGGGGCTGGGCGGTTGAAAGAGAGGCAGTTAGAGGAAGTGCTTCGAAAACACTTGCACTTACAAGATCAGGTTTATGTGCATGCGTGCATCTAGGTTTCCATGCACCCAACGAAGCCCATGGCCCCCATGCCCCATTCCCCAAGCCCCATTTCTCCATGCCCCATCCCCCATGCCCCATGCCCCATGCCCCATGCCCCATGCCCCATGCCCCATGCCCCGTGCCCCGTGCCCCATGCCCCATGCCCCGTGCCCCATGCCCCATGCCCCATACCCCATGCTCCCATGCCCCATGCCCCATACCCCATGCTCCCATGCCCCATGCCCCATGCCCCATCCCCCATGCCCCATCCCCCATGCCCCATCCCCCATCCCCCATGCCCCATCCCCCATCCCCCATGCCCCATCCCCCATCCCCCATGCCCCATCCCCCATCCCCCATGCCCCATCCCCCATCCCCCATGCCCCATCCCCCATCCCCCATGCCCCATCCCCCATCCCCCATGCCCCATCCCCCATCCCCCATGCCCCATGCGCCATGTCCCATGCGCCATGCGCCATGCCCCCATGACAGTTCCACATCACGCCTCGCTTGCAGCAGCATGCCACACACCCCATCGCTTCTTCCCAGAAGTTTTCTTCTGCCGCCCCTGCTGACGCACAGCATGACCACTCCTCTCCGCTCAAGAATCTGCCACGTGTCAGCAGCACTGCACCCAGCAGCACCAGCACAACCTCAAGTAGTAGCACGGAGGGCCACTCAAACAGTGTCGGCAATACTGGCGTTGCTGCTGGTGCTGCCACCATTGCTGCTTCTGCTGCTACTCCTGGTGCTGCTTCTGCTGCACGCACGGAGAGGAGGAGGCAGAAGGCAGAAGCGAAAGAAATGAGAGAGCAGGCAAGGGAGGGGGAGAGGGAGGAGAGAGAGGGGATGATGCTAGCAGCTAGAGAGGTGAGGGCTGAGGAGAGGAGGGAGGAGAGGGAGAGGAAGGGGGAGGAGAGGAGGAGCAAGGAGGGGAGGGAGAAGGGTGGCCTGCTCGGGAGAGAGGGGGGGCGCAGGGGGAGCTGGCGCATGGGGGAGGGGGATAAGGGGGAAGAGGGTTTGGGGGAAGGGGGAAGGGGAATGGGGATTTGGGGTGGGGGAGGGGGTGAGAGGGGGGTTGGGGGGAGTGCAAGTGGAAGGTGGGTTGGAGGTAAGCGCAACAGTGCTGCGCTGAACAGCAGAGACTCCCAGGTGGATTTCCAGGTGGAAACTCAGGTGGTTTCAGCAGAGGTCGTGGAGGGCAGGGACGTGCAGATTCGGAGCTCATTCAACCTGTGGTTACATGGTAACCCGGATAAGCTTTTGGAAGCAGATGCTACTCTTGCTGCTGCTAGTGGTACTGCTGCTAGTGGTACTGCTGCTGCAGCAGCTGCTGCTGCTTTGGCTGCTGCTGCTTTGGCTGCTGCTGATGGTACTGCTGCTTCCGCAGCAGCTCATGCTAATGGCGCTACTCCTTGTGCTGCTGAGTCTACTGATGCTGCTGCTCCCAACGCTTCCAACATTCCCACGACTCCCAACACTGCCACCACTCCCACCACTCCTGGTGCTGCCAATGCCAATGACCCCAGTGCATATGCCACTGCCAATGGAACTGCAGGCCCTGTCACCAGTGCAGAGGGGGCGAGCCCCATTGGGGAAGGGCAGGGCGGAATGCAGAGCAGCATGCAGGGCGGCATGCAGGAGGGGTCAAGTGCGGGGCCGGTGAGGGAGCGGCTGAGGGAGGAGTACGAGCGGCGAGCAGTGCCGCTCTCTGTGGATCTCGTTAATGGTGTTCTCGACATCTATAAGGCTGCTGCCACTGCTAATGCTAATGCTGCTTCTGCTACTGATGCTTCTGCTGCTGCACCCTCCGCCGCCTCTCATGGAAACACATCCCCCATACTGACCTCCTCGTTATCCTCACCATCGCTCGCATCGCTGGGCTCCGGAGCATCTCAGCCGTCCATCTCTGCGCGGCACTCTGACTCCTCCCTGGCTCACATTGATCCCTCCGTACCGCAACAGCAGCAGCACCGCTACCAGCAGCAGCCATCCACCCCGTCTGCACCCACCACTCGCTCCTTCTCCTGGAAGGGTCCCAGAGCCTTCTCTCGCTCCGCCTCCTCCCCCGCCCTCTCCCACACGCACTCCCACACCTCTGCTGCTTTGCACTCACCTGCTGCTGCTGCTTCTCTCACCTCCACTCCCGCTGCTGCCACTACCAATTCCCCCTGGTCCTCTGCTTCCAGTCTTCCTGGCACCTCTGCAAGGGCAGCAGCTGCTGTTGCTGGTGTCTCTCCTGACTTGCCTGAAGAGGATGTTTTTGTGGGTGACTCAGCACCTGTTGATGCTGCTGTGACTGTAACGGACGGGGGAAATGTGACTGTGGTGGATGGGGGACATGTGACTGTAACGGATGTGCAAGTGGTTCTGGACTATCTGGCATCTGAGGCAGGCACGGCTCACCGTCATGAGCTGCAGCGGTTCAGGTGAGAAGCCAGGTGCCTTGCAACAGAGTCAGGTGCCTTACGACAGAGTCAGGTGCCTTACGACAGAGTCAGGTGCCTTGCAACAGAGTCAGGTGCCTTGCAACAGAGTCAGGTGCCTTGCGGCAGAGCCAGGTGCCCTAATAAACAGTCTCTTCTCCCACCAATCATTCGTCCCAGGATCCTGTCAGAGCTGCTGGCGGACGTGCAGCCACAGCAGCTGGGGCACTCACACACCCACGCCAATGCCCATACACACGCATCTGCACGCTCACACCCCCCCATACCAACCCCCCCGCATGCCCCCCTTCTCGCGCAGAATCCTGTCGGAGCTTCTGGCGGATGTGCAGCCACAGCAGCTGGGGCACTCACACATGCACGCGTGCATCTGTACCCTTCCAAACCGCCACACCAAGCCCTCCCACATGCCCCCCCACTCGCGCAGAATCCTGTCGGAGCTGCTGGCAGACGTGCAGCCACAGCAGGTGGGGCATTCAGACAGACACACACGCACGTTCATACTCATACACACTCGCACACCCATGTGCAATCTCATCTCACCCCCCCCGCTCCCCCTCAGGATCCTATCAGAGCTGCTGGCGGAGGTGCACCCACAGCTGGTGGGGCATTCAGACAGACACACACGCGCGTTCATACTCATACACACTTGCACTCATATGTGCAATCTCACCACCCCCGCTCCCCCTCAGGATCCTATCAGAGCTGCTGGCGGACGTGCAGCCACAGCAGCTGGGGCACTCAGAGCGACTGGCCTTCTGGATCAACGTGTACAACGCGCTTGCCATGCATGTGAGCCGAGGGGGGGGGGGTTCATAGTGTGCGCATCTAAGAGGGGTCTTACTGTGTGCATTGCATACGGTGCTGTGCATGTGAGATGGGGGGGGTGTCATAGTGTGCGCATCTAAGAGGGGTCTTACTGTGTGCATTGCATACGGTGCTGTGCATGCGAGCTGGGGCACGCGACTGGCCTTCTGGATCAACGTGTACAACGCGCTCGCCATGCATGTGAGGGGGGGGGGGGGTCATGTGAGAGGGTTATAATGGGCATGGGAAGGGTCATGTTGTAATGCACACCCTTGTGTGCTTGTGAGATGGGGCACTCAGAGCGACTGGCCTTCTGGATCAACGTGTCCAACGCGCTTGCCATGCATGTGAGCGGGGGGGGGGTCATAGTGTGCGCATGTGGGATGGGTTATCCTGTGCGCATATGGTGTTGTGCATGCGAGGTGGGGCACTCGGAGCGACTGGCCTTCTGGGTCAACGTGTACAACGCCCTTGCCATGCATGTGAGCGGCGGTTGTGGGGGCCATGTGAGAGGGTTATAATGGGCATGGGAAGGGTCATGCTGTAATGCACACCCTTGTGTGCTTGGGAGATGGGGCACTCGGAGCGACTGGCCTTCTGGATCAACGTGTCCAACGCGCTTGCCGTGCATGCGAGAGGGTTATGGTGTGTGATTCGCATGTGTACATATGCGATGAGAGGTGCATGTGAGAGGGGGTCATGTCCATGCATGCTTCACTGCCATTCCTGTGATCGCGAGCATCATAGAGTCAACACATGCATCTGTCATCATCCCTCCTCCTTTCCCTCCAGCATCACTGCCTTGCCTTCACTTGTCCCTCCTTCTCCTCTCGCTTCCTTCGCCCTCACACACCTCCTCACCTCCACCATTGCTGCCCGTCTCTTCTTCCCCCCTCCCTTCACCAGGCGTACCTGGTGTATGGCCAGCCGCGCAGCCACTACAAGCGAGTCATGTTCATGCACAAGGTTTGAGTCCTCTCTCCCCTCGCCTCACTTCCCTCTTCCACCTCACTCCCCTCCCCTCACTTCCCTCTTCCACCTCACTCCCCTCCCCTCACTTCCCTCTTCCACCTCACTCTCCTCCCCTCACTCCCCTCTTCCACCTCACTCCCCTCCCCTCACTTCCCTCTTCCACCTCACTCCCCTCCCCTCACTCCCCTCTTCCACCTCACTCCCCTCCCCTCACTCCCCTCGTCCACCTCACTCCGCTCTCATCACCTCACTAGTGAGTCGCAGTGTCACCTCTTTAAGGGCAGCCCCACAGCCATCATAAGCGAGTCATCTTCATGCGCAACCTTCTCCTCCTCCTCTCTCTCCTCGCCTCACCCCCTCCACTCCCCCCTTCCCTTCACCTCACTCCGCTTCTTTCCTGCTGTCACACAGCTCCCTCGTTTCCCTACTCCTCACTAATCTGGTGCCACCCATTCTGTATCTGCTGCTATCACTCCTAACCTCCCAGTCAACATCCCTCATAACCTTTCTGCCTTCCTGCCATCAACCCTTCCTATTCCTCGTCTCCCTCATTCCCCTGCTCTCGCCCTCCTCTCACCAACGCTTTTCCTCAACCCCTCTTCCTCCATCTCCCCTTTCCCCACCCCCTGCCCCCACCCCCCCAACAACGCCCCCCTGTCCCCACCCATGCAGTCGGCCTAGATCATTGTCCTGCCTTCCCATGCTTGTTCTCCCAGTTCACTCGCCAGCATCTTTCCCTCCCCCCCCCCTGCCCCCTCCCCCCCCTCCCTCCCTCCCCTCCCATTCAACCCACCCCTGCCCCCACCCATGCATGCAGTCGGCCTACATCATTGCTGGCTTGCCTTTCTCCATCCTCGCTATAGAGCACTGCATTTTGAGAGCTGCGTCCTTCCAACCAGCACTGGTAAGTCCTATGATTCTCCCATCTCACCCTCCCCCCCGCCTTGCACCCACATGTATTTCTAGGCCTTCGCTCCCATCATTGTCCCTGCCCCCCCTGCCCCCTCCCCTCCTCCCCTCCCTTCAAAATCTCACACACGCACGCAAAATACCACTACCACCCGCTTTTCCCCCCTTTTCCAGGCCGGTCTGCTGCCAGTGCAGCGCTACAGGCGGGGAGACGTGCGCTACAGCCTGGCTTTGGACCGGCCCGAGCCTCTCGTCACCTTTGCGCTCAGCTGTGGCTGCGCCTCTGCTCCCCCTGTAAGCCTCCCCTCCCTTGGACCCTCATCACTTACAACCCTCCCTTCTCCCCTGTCCTCTCTCTCCTCTCCCCTTTCCTCCTCCCTATACTGTGCCAATAATATCCCCATGTCTTTGCCGTTATGCCATTGCATTCACACCCTGACCCTCACTGTTTTGTGCAAATACAGTAGCCCTCATTTGCCTTCTCTATTCTCATTGATTCTCCGTCAACCAATCAGGTGCGAGTGTACCACCCCGACACTGTTCACGAGCAGCTGAAAACAGCTGCCCAGGATTACATTTGGGCAAACCTAAAGCTGCATCCGGGCAGCGGGAAAATCTTGCTGCCCAAGCTCCTGCACTGGTACAGCAAGGATTTTGCAAGAAACGCAGTGGGACTGCTGCAGTGGGCAGCGGAGCAAATGGAAGACGGGCAGAAGCATAACATTTTGCAGGCTATTGGTGCTGCTGGAGGTTCCAGGAAGGTTCGGCTGGGAAGGGTTCCTGTGCAGGTTCTCGCATATGATTGGACCTTCCAATATCTGCTGGCGTGACAGCGTCTCAATTTTCCTATAACTGTTAAGACATAATTTATTTGGCATCCATAAAGGCCACCTGAAGGAAACATCTCTTCAAATAGCTGCTGCAAATAGCCAGCTTTATCAGACAGGATGTGATTACTCTTCCCCATGTCCTAACCTACTAACACACACAGCGGTAACAGCCAGCCCTCATCCCATCCCCACCAAATCATTTCCTCACGTCGCTCCTCCCCTCCGTTTCCTTTCCTAACCGCTTCTGTTTGTCATTTTCCTATGATCTCCAGCAGACAGATTTCACAATAAACCTAATCAAGCGTCTCGCCAGTCCTCTTAGACGACAAATTCAGGCCGTCAAGGGGAAATTCTTCGGGAACACGTACGTCCCGTTGACGCGCCACGTGGCAGGCAGTATGTTCAGCGCCGTGAGGCTGAACTTCTTGAGCGCGCTCACGACGTGAAACGAGATCGGTACGCCAATGACTTTCACTCCGCTCGCTGACCAAACTCCGCCGAAATTCCGCGCCATGGGCAGCCATGCTGCGCCGCCCACTTTCATGTGCACGGACGCGATTCCGCCCGGCCCCGCGGCGTTCATTAAAAGCACCCCGATAAAGTAATCCGTCCCCATGACCGGCTTGAAAACGAGACCGCCTTGTCGTTTGCACGGGATTCGCGCAAGTCGCACGCGAATGTTCCCCGCGACGCGGTTCTTCACGATCTGATCGTACACCCACGGCGACATTATCACTCCTTTTTTCCCGGGTCGGCAGATTCCGGATCGCGGCTGCCCGATGCACTCACTGGTAGCCGTCACGGCGACGATCTTATCCTGCCGGCACATCTGCGACTTGACGCATTGCAAGGCGTAACACGCGCCGCATCCAGTACCGTTCTCGTAGAGCTTGGAGGAAATCGCGATGGTGGGGAGATTGTACGGCCGCACTCCATTGGTCTTGCCGTAGCCGCACGAGCCGCCGTCCTCGCCTTGAATCAAGGAGAGCGTGCCCGTGAATTTGCTGTCCCACACGCCGTACTCCTCGACTGCTGCTGCGCGGGTTGCGATAAGGAGGACGAGGAGAAGGGGCGGCAGGGCTAGTGCTGCTATTCGAGTTCTTCCGCGCGCCATGTCGTGCAGTTTGTGTTCCGCGCAGAGGAGGTAAAGAATGTGGCAAGTAAGTGCTCTTGAGTTGGAAACTCTTGGAATCTCCTGGATTAGAGAATCTCTGGGATGACTGCAGTGATGTGGAATGGTTAGAAGGCGGAGGTGGATTGGGAGGAAGAGGAGGGCGGGTTGCGAGAGGCAAGCGAATGCAATGTCGGTGTTATCGCGTCCCAAAAAGGCGGTCAACATTGGTCAAGTTGCTTCTATGGCGAAGTGCAATGCTGCGTCTAACGAAGGACGACTCGGCTATCATCAATGCGACGCGCGGGGGTATTCCCTTGTCACGATCGACGATCTTCCGCATGACACGGCGCCCTTGTACGGGCGCAAACAAAATGAATCTCGAGAGTGGTTCAATTGAGTTTGAAGGAGTTTCCCGATTTGAAACCAGGACTCGCTCGCCAATACATAAGTTTTATTGCCACACAAAAATCCATCAACATCGAACCGAAGTCAAATGAAAGCAATTCCTTTTTCCATTTATTGGTCCGAGTTGAACATCTCCGGTACAAGCAGCTACAGTTCATTCTGTAATCCGCACCAATTTCTGCAGGAGTCACTATTTGCCGAATTGTCCCATTTCCATCACCAGAACCTGGGTACTATTTTCCATTTCAATGAATATGGCTGCCTGTGTCACCTCTTTGCTGCCAGTGCCCGTAATCCCGACGCGCACTGCTAGCTCAATCCACAAACAATCATGTAAAACCTCCCTCCTTAGTTCCTTACGCAGTCGTCCTGCTGGTCTTGCCGCCTTGCGTGGAAATTCGGGCAGCAGGATTCGGACGAAATTCGCTTCACGTTACGGCCGCGATTCCGCGCAACCACACGATGCGTGGACTTTCCGCGTGCGCGCAGCAGCCTCCGCGGGTGGCGCGGGGGCGGAATCAGCGGAGGCGGAAGAGAGCACAGTGGCGGAAGACAAGAAGCAGCGGAGAGGCCTCCGCGGCAAGACCGAGGCTGATGTCATCGTCATCGGTTCCGGAATCGGCGGGCTGTGCTGCGGCAGCCTCCTCGCGCGCTACGGCCGCGACACGCTCGTGCTCGAAAGCCACTACCTCCCGGGCGGCGCGGCGCACGGCTTCACGCGAAACGGCTTCTCGTTCGACACGGGCCCGTCGCTGTTCTCGGGATTGTCGTCGCGCGGCCCGCAGGCGAACCCGCTCGCGCAGGTTCTAGACGCGCTGGGGGAGTCGGTGCCGTGCGCGGCATACGATAGCTGGATGTGCTACCTCCCGGAAGGGGACTTCCTCTCGCGCATCGGCCCGTCTCACTTCATCGAGGTGCGGATAGCACTGACTATAGCCTTTCTGCACGTGACTTTTCAGCGAGGAGTGGGGGGAGACGGTGCCGTGTCCAGCGTACGATAAATGGGTGTGCCACGGTACTACCTACCTGCCTGAAGGGGACTTCCCTCTCGCGCATCGGCCCCTCTCACTGGGAGTCTCCTATTTCTGTTAGAGATCTTTAATTCCTGTCATGTGCAAGTGTGCAGGCAGTTACTATCACACATTCGCCCGCAATATGTTTCTGACCTCAGTAACACCACAAGTGCCTTGTGCTCGTCTGTGCACCCTGAACTGTTCCTGCCTTATATTCGGTTCCTTCTCCCATTCCTCCCTCCCTCCCTCCCTCCCTCCCTCCCTCCCTCCCTCCCTCCCTCCCTCCCTCCCTCCCTCCCTCCCTCCCTCCCTCCCTCCCTCCCTCCCCCCTCCCCTCCATCCCTCCATCTCTCTTTTCCTACCTGCCTGCCTGCCATGCAGGTGTTACAGCAGCGTGTGGGGGAGGACGCGGTGCAGGATTGGCGCAAGCTCATGGTGAGTCACCTCGTGACTTCACCTCATGTTACTTTGACGCCCCGTGCTTTTTGAGTCGCTGATAGATTGCCGTTTGCCGTGCCAGCAGTGGTTCCTGCTTCCCTTCTGGTCAGCTCAGACCTCACATCCCACCCATCCCGCTCCACGCTCTTACCTCTCCGTGCCACACAGGTAGCGCTTGGCCCTCTAGTCTCTAGCCGGCCCTTTTCCCTCCAGCAAACCCCTCTCTCCCCCCCCCGCCCACTCTACCCCCCAGAACATGACAGGCAGGGGTGGAGCCTCTAGCTGGCCTGGCCCCTCCGTGGCCATCCCTTCCCCTGGCTGCTCTGTGCCGCGCCCCACCCACTCCCTTCCCTGCTTCCTTCCTTCCGGCCTTTCCCCTTCCTTCCGCCCCACATTCCCCTTCTTCACCACACCCCCCCCTCCCCTCACGCTGCCCCTCCCACCACCCCAACAGGCAGTAGTGGAGCCTCTAGCCGGCCCCTCAATGGCCCTCTGTGCAGCACCCCACCCCACCCACTCCCTTCCCCACTTCCTTCCTTCCCCCTCTCCTTTCCCCTTCTCCCCCCCCCCCACCCCCCTTTCCCCTTCCCACGCACCCTTCCCCTCGCCCCACAGGCAGTGGTGGAGCCTCTAGCCGGCCCCTCAATGGCCCTCCCCCCAGCTGCTCTTCGTGCCGACCCTGCCGTGCTGCTCACTGCAGGGCTGAGGTACGGCCCGAGCCTGCTCCGCACGTTCGGCAGCGCCGGGCCTGCAGGTAAGGTTTGCAGTGGGGGTTTTCTTTTAGTGGATTGAGTGTGATGTGTGGGCGTGGGCAGAGGAACACTCCTTCTTGTGCACTTTTTACTCACCTCACCTTCTTGCGCTCTTCTATCCCTCCATTCCCACCCCCTCCTCCCCACGCCTCTCCCCCCAGCTGCGCTCAACGCGTCGAAGCTCTTGGGCCCATTCTCATCGCTAGCCGACTCAGTGGGTGTGAAGCACCCCTTCGTGCGCAACTGGATCGATCTCCTCTCCTTCCTGCTCTCGGGGCAGAAGGCCGATGCCACCATTGCGGCCGAAGTGGTGAGTTTGAAGACACATTAAACCTTGTGAAGCACCACAGAGGTTGAAGCACCCCTTCGTGCGCAACTGGATCGATCTGCTCTCCTTCCTGCTCTCGGGGCAGAAGGCCGACGCCACCATCGCTGCTGAAGTGGTGAGCTGCTCTCTCTGCCCCCCTCATCCTCCCTCTGTTGCATTATTCTCGCCTGCGTTTTCTCGATTGCTCTGCTGTGGCGTCTCCGCACCCCCTGTGCTTGCCTCTTCCAGCCGTTAAGTCCCTCACTTCTGAGCACTCTCACCTACTTCCCCCTTTTCCAATCTCTCAAATTTAGTTGCCTCAGAAGCTATTGTTGGTCCCTGCAAATATAGACTTCGTGAGTTGCCTCAAACATTGCACTCTACAGAGTGGCTTTTTTGTCGACTCGAAAGTCTTCTCACTTTTTATGCCACCTAAAACGTTGTCTCTTTCGCCTTCTGCTCCCCCTGCTCTCCCCCAGGTGTACATGTTTGCAGAGTGGTACAAGCCTGGCAGCGTCATGGAGTACCCTCTCGGCGGTCCCGAGGCGATTATCGAGGCGCTTATAAGGGGGATGGAGAAGCACGGCGGGCAGCTCTCACTGAACTGCCACGTGGACAGCATAGTGGTGGAAGGCGGCCGGGCAGTTGGCGTAAAACTTAAATCTGGGCAGATAATCCGCGCCCGGACAGCCGTGGTGAGTAATGCATCAGTGTGGGATACCATGCGATTGCTGCCGCCCGGGAGTGTACCCGGGGAGTATCGGAAAGAAAGGGAGGCTACACCCGAGTGTGATTCATTCATGCACCTGCATCTGGGGATCAAGAAGGAGAATCTTCCTGCTGACTTGGAGATCCATCACATCGTGGTCAATGATTGGTCGGTCGGCGTCGACGCTCCTCAAAACGTGGTCCTCATCTCCATCCCGACGGTCCTCGACGCCTCACTGTCGCCACCTGGCACCGTCTCATTGCACGCGTACACTCCGGGAACCGAGCCCGCTTCCCTGTGGCAAGGCCTGGATAGGCGGTCAGCTGAGTACAAGAAACTGAAGGAGGAGAGGGCTGAGGTGATGTGGAAGGCGGTGGAAAGGGTGCTTGGTCCGGGTAGTGTGAGTTGGCGTTGGTTGGCACTCCCTTGACTCATGGCCGGTACTTGAGAAGGCACCGAGGCACTTATGGCCCGGCAATCAAGGCAGGTGTGGAGACGTTTCCAGGCTCGACGACGCCTCTTCCGGGGTTGTTTTGCTGTGGGGATTCGACGTTCCCGGGGATTGGTGTGCCTGCGGTTGCGGCGAGTGGAGTGGTGGCGGCTAACACACAGACCCCTGTGTGGGACCACTGGAAGTTGCTTGATGCTATTGGTATCTGAACTGATCTGCAAGGAGTTGGTATCTTCAATATTTATCTATGCTACAAACGTACCATATGGTATTATTTTGATGATATAATGGTAACAGTCACGTCTTCTGCAAAATGGAGAATCAACTATTCAGTTTGTGACACAAGCGCCCAGCGGAAGTATTCCCAGTGTTGAGCAAAAGGCACTATGTCGAATGTGTGCCAACAGTGGATGGTAGTTCATCAATAGCACATTTCGGCGGGACCTCTTTATACAAACAGCCCGCTCGACGAGTCCTCGAGCGGTTCGCCAGTTGGTCGCAGGAGTTACTCGCTGTACTGTCGAAAGGGCAGCGACATCTGGATTTTTTCCTGCGACGCTCGCTACAGTGTTTGGGCAAACCCTTGGTTTGGTCAAAGTACCCGTGCCGCGTGTCCGGTAGCACATGCAACACAGGCATTGGCTGGTTTGTTTACATGTCCCATCTGCAATAACAGCAGTTGCGACCCATGGCCAAAGCCCAGGGTTATCGCACAACCACCCGTCCCTTGCCCAGGGCAGTCGTCACACAGCAAGCGATCATTCTATCCGCACAGCTGTGCGAGGACGCCTTGAAGTCGCATGGCTCGTCAGATTCATCACACGGCAATTACAAGTCCTGTTGTGTCGCACGCACTATTCCCCCATCAAACCCAACCAGCCCCGTCAGCCAAACACTTTCGTCACCTGTCATTGCCTAGGGTCTTCCTTTCCCTGACTTCCTACATTCACATCCATCCTAAGCTTCCTTCCAATCTTGCTTCTCAAATCCCCCAGCACGCAAGTTTCTTCTCACTTGCTTGTTCTAGGTTCTCCCTATCCTTCGTATTCCACAGACTCTTGCGAAGCATAACGCGACGCGCGTTGTATTCTGATTTCGTGTGATCATCTTGGCGCCTATTTCCATCTCCGGTGCAGCTTACGGTACTCTTAGGGTCACGCGCCGCGAATTGTTTTTTCTCCCTTTTTTTCCGCGTAGCAAAGTCTTCTGCGGGTGCTTCCTGGTTTTAATAGCCAATATGGGCGGTTGACAAAGGCGGGAAAAAAAATTGTAGCCCGTTCTCTTTAGTGGTGTCGAACTCGTACACTGAAGGCATGGCGACGTCGACAGAAGATGGCGAAGCGGATTACATGGTTAGCTCCTCGATCATCAGAACCTTTTGCACAGCTAGCTCGCTCAGCTACACGTTTATGCTGGCTAAACCATTCGCTTTTCGTCTCGTCAACTCGTACTGATCTGCCGAAGATGCTTCCATATCTTTTTTCCCTTCTAAGTTCTCCTGTTTCTGCTGTACCCGTTCATTTCTCATGTTTTTTGTGAATCGGTCTGTTGCCTCGAGCGCAGCGGTATCTAGACTCGGAGCAAGCAGTCATGGATTACGACATGTGCGACGAGGACAGCGACGAATGCGACGCGTGCGACTATACCGATGACAGCAGCGACGCGGACAGCCAAGACGGCTCACAGGGAGATTGGGACTGGGACGCGACGCCTCGGCGGGACAGGACGGCCGACGCGCGGCAATTTCAAGGAGAAGACGACTCAGACGAGGACAACGACATGGTCCGTTCATCGTCCATCGTCCATTGTCCGATGTCCGATGTATCATTGTCCCACGTGCCCCTGCCTGCTGTGTCTCCTCTCTGTTGCGTGTCGCTGTCGCTTTTCTTCCAAGCGATTTCAGTTAACTCACAGGCTCCAGCCATATCCCCTTCGAATCCGGAGATTATTTTCCAACCTGACTCTGCCCCTGCCCCTGCCCCTGCCCCTCCTCCCGCCCCACCTCCCCCCTCCCCCTGGCAGCTGGACGGCGCGGTGGACGTGAGTGCGCAGCAGGCGGCGCGGGGGCGGGACATACAGGGCATCCCGTGGGAGCGGCTGCACTTCACGCGCGCCAAGTACCGCGCGATGCGCCTGCAGCAGTACAAGAACTACAAGAACCTCGACGTCCCGTTAGACGCCGTGGATAAGGTGCGCACGCGAGTGATAAGACGCGCGCTCATGCTTTACCAATCTTTCATTTTCACTGGTGCAGCTGGAAGTGACATGCCTAACTCTTCTTGTCTGCCTTGGCGTGTGTGACTGCGTGTGACTGCGCGTGTGACTGTGTCACACGCAGGAAGTGAAGCAGGTCAGCACAGACGCGGAGTTTTTCAGCTTCGCCTACAACACGCGCGCCGTCAAGTCCACCATCGTGCACTTCCAGGTACGCCCGTACAAATGCGCCCGCCCAGATTCGCACAAACAGGTACGCTCACCCAGGTACGGTCGTCCAGATACGCCCGTCCAGGTGCGTCCCCTTCCAGGCTTTCTGCATTGAATCTTGCTCTTGACGCATGCTGCTTGTGCAATGCGCGCTGCCATCACAATGCGAATACATCAACAGCCACAACACACCTCATTCGTTCCCCGCGTCCCTCCTCCCCCCTCTGTTCCCCCTTGTTTTCCCCCTCCCCCCCAGCTGCGCAACCTAGTATGGGCGACGTCGAAGCATGACGTGTACACCATGCACGGCCACACCATCGGCCACTACTCGGCTCTCTCCCGCCGCTCCGTTGACTTCCTTGACCTCAGCGGACCCGTCGTGCCCATCTCCCATGTACAGCGAGCATGCATGCACACACGATCAAATGCATCCATACATCGCCTTTAGTACATTCCTGGATGCACCCATGCCCCCTTGCATCGACTTCATGTTACTTGAGTGAACGCGTGGTGCCCCGTTTCCCATGGGAAGTGCATCCTTCTTACCGTTTTGTGTCACCCACCCACCACACCTGATCCCATCCCACCCATTCGTTTTTCTTGCCCCTCGTGAAGCTGTCATTTCTTAGCCGCAGTCATCCCCCCCCACCCCCTCCTCCTCCCCCTCCCCCCCCCCCCCCCCTCCTCCTCTTCTTCCAATATCTTTCTCTCACCCCTCTCCCCCCATTTTCTTGATCTCTCCCTCCTCTAACCATTACCCCCTCGTCTCCTCCTTTGTCTCCTCCCCATTCCCACCCCGGGCCCACCCATTCCTACCCCGGGCCCACCCACTTCCACCCCAAACCCAACCCCCCCTCGCCCTCCCCCTCCCGTCCCCCTTCCCTTCCCCTTCGCTCTCCGCCAGCTACAGCGCGCCCCCTGGCTGTACCACCAGCGCGCCACCACTGCCACATTGCGCCCAGGCGGACCCAGGCTCTATGGGGGCGGGGGGACGGGGGGAACGGACGGAGCAGGCGGGGGAGTAGCCACTGGCGCGGGGGGAGCAGCAGGGCCGGGGAGAGGGGACGGGGGGGGAGGGGCGGCGGCAGGGGGGAATGGGGCAGGAATGGCGGATGATGGGACGTGGGAACCAGTGGGCCGGGTGCAGGTGAGCATGCTGTGTGTGCAACAGACTCATGCTGTATTTTTTCCTCCCTTTTTTTTTTTTTTTTTTTTTTTTTTTTGGAGTCCTCCAATATGGGGTGCATGCATGCCAGGAAGAACACAGTGTCTTCGCAACGGGCTGGTTGCGCCGCCCTTTTTGTTGTGTTCTTACGGATGCAGTAAGAAACAAAAAGGGAAAAAAAAAAAAAAACGATACAAATACTCCAACGTGGGGTGTGTGCGTGCAGGTGAGCACGCTGTGTGTGCGCAACGGGCTGGTGGCAGCGGGGGACTTCAACGGCGAGATGGTGTGCAAGCGGCTTGAGACGTCTCAAAACACTTCTTTTATCATGTGGGGTGGGTGTGTGTGTGCGTGTGTGCGTGTGTGCGTGTGTGCGTGTGTGTGTGCGTGTGTGTGTGTGCGTGTGTGTGTGTGTGTGTGTGTGCGCGTGTGTGTGTGCGTGTGTGCGTACAGGTGAGCACGCTGTGTGTGCGCAACGGGCTGGTGGCAGCAGGGGGCTTCAACGGCGAGATGGTGTGCAAGCGGCTCGACAGCGGCGCGGAGGGCGGCGTGTCTTATGCAGGGCGGATTACAAGGGATGAGAGCGCGATAACCAATGCTGTCGAGATCTTTGAGTCCGCCAGGTGAGAGATGGGAGGGACATGAGGGTTGAGTTGACAGCGGCGCGGAGGGCGGGGTGTCTTATGCTGGGCGAATAACAAGGGATGAGAGCGCGATAACCAATGCTGTCGAGATCTTTGAGTCCGCCAGGTGAGAGATGGGAGGGACATGAGGGTTGAGTTGACAGCGGCGCGGAGGGCGGGGTGTCTTATGCTGGGCGAATAACAAGGGATGAGAGCGCGATAACCAATGCTGTCGAGATCTTTGAGTCCGCCAGGTGAGAGATGGGAGGGACATGAGGGTTGAGTTGACAGCGGCGCGGAGGGCGGGGTGTCTTATGCTGGGCGAATAACAAGGGATGAGAGCGCGATAACCAATGCTGTCGAGATCTTTGAGTCCGCCAGGTGAGAGGGGAGTGGGTGTGGGAAGGAAGGGGTGGGGAAGGGGTTGGGACAGAGAATGGGGTTTGGAGTTGAGCGTGGGTTGAAGGATGTGAGCAGCGCAGAGGTTGGCATGGCATATTCTGGACGGATCACGAGGGATGAGGGCGGCATCAAATGGGATGATACAACGGAGTAACAGCTCTCATGCCATTTCACAAATCAAATGGCATGATGCGCCACTGCCTCCTCATCCTTGCTTCCCCTCCTTCGCCCCCCCACCAGTGGCGCTGTACGAGTGTTGACGTCCAACAACGACTGCCTCGTGAGGGAGTCACACACCCTCCACTTCTTAAACCCCCCCTCCCCACTCCCCCGCCTCTTGCGCCCCTTTCCTTCGCGCCTCCACCAGCGGAGCAGTGCGAGTGCTGACATCCAACAACGACTGCCTCGTGAGGGAGTTCGATGCGGACTCCTTCGCCATCATCACCCTTCCTGCTCCTCTCCCCCCCCTCCCACTCCCCTGCACCCCCACAGTGGAGCAGTGCGAGTGCTGACATCCAACAACGACTGCCTTGTGAGGGAGTTTGATGCCGACTCCTTCGCCATCATCGCCCGCCACCACTTGCCATGGCCCATCAATGTACGTACGCTGGGCGAATGTGACTGCATGCAAGTTGTGCATGCCATGCCATCATCGCCTGCCACCACTTGCCATGGCCCATCAATGTACGTACGCTGGGCGGACCATTGCATTCATGTCATGTCATTGCTGTTCACTCTGCATATCAGTGCATGCCTGTCTCGCCATCATCGCCCGCCACCACTTGCCATGGCCCATCAATGTACGTACGCTGGCCAGATAGGAGCGCATGTTATGCCTTTATCAAGCTCCAATCTATTCATTTGTTTGCGCCATCCCTCGACCATCTGTCATTTTCTGCCATTTTTTTTAATCTCCCTTCCCTTGCTCATTCCACCCTCCTCCTCTCCTCCCTCGATCCCCTCGCTCCCGTTGCTTCCGTCCTACAGCACACGTCAGTATCGCCGAACGGCAAGCTGGTGGTGGTGGTGGGGGATGACCCAGACGCCTTTTTAATGGACGCCAGCTCTGGCCGGGTAAGTTGTCGCTTCTGGTTACATTTTTTAAGGGGCCGGGGGGGGCAGTGGTACATGTTCTTATGATCACAAGGGCTGTTTCCATTGTCACTTGATTTTGTTGCTCCCTAGTCGCTTCACCATAATTCTTCCCTCCCGCTCCCACTCCTTGGCTCTCTCAACAATCCTCCCCCCTACCCCAGGTGGTGGCGCCTCTGAGCGGCCATGTGGACTACTCCTTTGCATCGGCCTGGCACCCCAACGGGCTAACCTTCGCCACGGGCAATCAGGACACTACCTGCCGAGTCTGGGACCTGCGCTGCCCGCTACCATCAACTCCATCATTACCTTACCCTCTTCCTCCCCCTCTCCCCTGGCCCTCCCCCTTCCCCCTTCCCCTTTCCCCCTCCGCGTTCCCCCTTCCCCCCTCCCCCCTACCCACAACCCCAGGTGGTGGCGCCTCTGAGCGGCCATGTGGACTACTCCTTTGCATCGGCATGGCACCCCAACGGCCTCACATTCGCCACGGGCAACCAGGACACCACCTGCCGCGTCTGGGACCTGCGCTGCCTCTCCCGCTCCCTCGCCACTCTCAAGGGCCGCATGGGCGCGATCCGGTCCGTCCGTTTCTCATCCGACGGCCGGTTTTTGGCCGTGGCAGAGCCGGCGGATTTCGTACATGTGTATGATGTGAAGGGGGGGTATGAGAGGAGCCAGGAGATCGATCTGTTTGGGGAGATTGCGGGGGTTTCGTTCTCTCCGGATTTGGAGGCGCTGTTTGTGGGCGTGGCGGATCGCACGTACAGCAGTTTGTTGGAGTTTAATCGGGCACGGTGTTGTGACTATGTCGATGCCGCTGTGTGAATAAAGGACGGGGGGTTTGGGCTTGGGCTGGGTTGGGGGGCATTGCATGTGACTTGTGCACAGTAGGGCTGGTTAGATGAGTTGGTGGGTGAAGGATGTTAGTGGATGTTTAGGGGGTTTGCCCCTACCCGCATGACTTAGAGTGGTACGACGCTAGGGATGATAGGGATAGCTGAACAGGCACTGCTTGTGCCTATCTTTCTAATGCTTTTTTTTCATTCATGATATAGGCAATTTAGTAATGACAAGATTTATGTGAATTGTTCGTATACTACACGCTCATACATTGGATACAATTCAGACTCACGCGTACGATTTTCTATATTTTGCCCCGCATCAAATTGGGTCCAATATTTGCCCCACTTGTCACCACCATGCCCACTACACGGTCGCGAAAGCAGTCCCTCTCACGGGGCGCGCCTGCAGCGCAAGCGCGCCGCAGAAAGCACGAGTCCGGGAGGGGAACCGCGCTGCTTCCGCCAGTTCTCGTGCGGCCGCCGCTTCGACCCGCCGCAGAAAGGTCAGCCACGGGAGATAGATGCGGAGAGCCTCGGCAGGAAGGGTAGAGGAGGAAAGCATGGAAGCCATTTGCATGTGAAAGAGGGGCGGAGTGGCGATTTAGCAGGGAGCCCCGCAGAGTGCATCAAGAATGGTACGCTTGATTTCCTTGCGCGGTAATGCAATGGCCTCCAACGCGTTTGGCGCTACAAAAACCCCAAACCTCCAACCCCAAACCCTGTCCCCTGAACGCGAAGTGATTTTGCATTCCTGCTACTGCCTCTGTCCGCCCGCCCTCCTCCACCAGCCGCACGTTCCGCGCGTTTGAACGGTGGATGCGCGATGAGGCCAAGATCCAATGGTCAGAAAAGCTCGCCTTCCTCCTCACCTGCCCTCCCCCTCCCGCGGCCACCCTCCGCCAAGGCGCACGCGAGCGCCCCTCCCGCACCTCTCCTTCCGCCTCCCCACCGCCTGGTCCGCTCCCCGTGGGGGTGTTTGCGCGAGCGCCCCTCCCCCTTGGCGCATCTGTTGCGACCATCCCCAAGTCCGCCTGCCTGACTCCGCGCACCTCCCGGATTGCGCCCTACCTCTCCGCCTCCCCGTTCTTTCAAGCAGAGGGTGAGGCGGAAGGGGAAGGGGAAGGGTCAGAGGAGGGGGAAGGGGAGGCGGATGAGGATGGGGAGGGGGAGGAAGAGGAGGGGGGATCAGGGGGTGAGAATCAGAGCGCGGGGGAAAGGGGCAGGCAAGGAGATGCGGAGAGCCAGGCGGAAGGGAGTGGGGGCGGGAGGAGCGCAGGGGAGGGGAACGCGGATGCGGGGAGTGAGGGGAACGGGGATGGGGAGGGGGAAGGGGAGGGGAATGGGGAGGGGGAGGGGGAGGGGGAGTCAAGAGAGGGCGCAAGGGAGGGCGGAGGGGGCCAGGGGGAGTTGAGCAGTGCAGCGCTGGTGGCAGCAGTGCTCTTTGAGAGGGCCCTGGGGGCGAAATCCCGATGGGCGGCGTATTTTGGACAGATGCCGGAGAGAGAGGATGTGCCGGTGCTGTGGGGCAAGCGGAAAGCGAAGGAGCTTCTAAAGGGGACAGAAATCGAGCAGGTACGTGCAAGAAAGGATACCACCTCCCATTGCTACCCCAATTCTTTTCCTTCTCTCTCTGTTCTTTCCCCATGTCTCTCACCCCCTGCCCTATCCACCTCCTCTGCCCCTCCTCTCGTATTCTCTCCACCCCTCCAGCAATTATTTTACCTCCTCCCCCCCCCCCCCCCCGCACCTCACACATTCCTCCGCCACCTCCCATCCCACCACAGGCTGTCCCCAGCGACCTAGCAGGCATGCGCGCGGAGTGGAGGCACCACATTCTGCCCTTCCTCCTCTCGCTGCCGCCCCACCTCCTCCACCTCCTCCCACCAACCCCAACCGCTCCAAACGGTCGACACACACACGAGCAGCTGCCTTTGGAGAATCCATCGTTGCCCAATCAGCAGCTGCCAGGTCAGCAGCTGACCAATCAGCAACTGCCAGATCAGCTGTCGTGGGACGCCTACCTGGCGGTCAAGTCGCTCATCTCCTCGCGGGCCTTCGCCATCGACAGCTGGCACGGGCACGGCATGGTGCCTCTGGCTGACCTGTAAGTGCCGGATAGGCTGATACCATGCCGGCATGTAGCCTATAGCATGTAGCTTGAATCACCATGTAAGGTTACTAAGGACGTGCATGCACTATGCACCATTATTTCACCCCTAACCCCTCCTGCCCGCACCCTCCCCTATCCTACCTCCCCTCTCCCTTTGCAGGTTCAACCATCGCACTGCAAGCGAATCAGTGCACTTCACAATCAACGATGAGGAGAGTGATGCAGAGGAGAGTGATAAAGGGAGGGAAGAACTGAGTGATGAAGACCCCGAAGTGGAGGGCGAGGAGAGGAGCAAAGGCGGGAAGGGTGCAGAGGAGGAGAAGAACGGGGTGGGAGGTAGGGGGAAAGAGAAGGGCAGAGAGGAGGAGTCACCTGAGAAGGAAGGCGAAAGGGAGAAGGCAAGCGAGCAGCTAGAGATGATCATGGTGCGGAGGGAGGGGCCTGGAGACGAAGTGTTCAACACGTACGGCCAGATCAGCACTGCGGCTCTTCTGCTTCGGTACGGCTTCACCGAGCCTCTCAGCTTCGGCGGCGCCGAACCTAAGGGTGGGGTGGAGGAGCTGCCGGTCAGGCTCGGCAAAGGAGGACCGAAGCATGGAGAAGAGGAGCAGGTGGATTGTATTTGCAATCTACAGTACAACCCGTTTGATTTAGTTAATGTGGACCTGAATGTGATTATAAGGGGGCTTAGTCTCGACCAATCACAGGCCAGCGGGAGAGGAGGGAGAGCAAGCCCAGAAGTGGGTTCCGCAGAAACAGGGCAAGAATCCAGCCAAACTCATCGCAGAAATTCCCGGGCGGCAAAGATTGCTCGTGATCCTACCTGCCCTTCCACTTGCTCCTCCCGGCGCTTGCGGTGGGCTGTGAAATTGCTTGAGAGGGCTGGATGCCCCCCCTTAGAGTCACAAGGAGAGAGATATTTCGAAATATCTGCTGACGGGCGGCCGCAGCTGGAGCTGCTGCTGCTGCTGAGGTTGGCAGGGTTGGGTGACGTGGCGGCTGCCAGAGTGGACGCCAGCGTGGCAGAGAGGGAGGCTGACGTGGATTGGGCCGGGATGGGGGCTGCTGAGCTGGCAGGGATGGTGGAGGAGTGGGTGGAGGGGATGGGGGAGAGGGAGGGGAAAGTTGGGCGAGCAGAGAGTGGTGGAGGGAAAGAGAAGGAGGGGCAGGATGGTAGTGGAAAAAATATTAAGGGGAGAAAGAGGAGGAGGGAAGGAGAGGAGAGGAGTCGTGATGGTGAGGTGTCAGCGAGAGGAGATGAAGGGGAGGTTGAGTTGGGTTCGGATGGGTCAAGTGAGGGGAGGAAGGGAAGGAAGAGAAGAAGAGGGGGGAAGGAGAGAAGAAGAGGGGGGAAGGAGAGAAGGGACAGAGGTGGTGGGAAGCATGGTTCGAGAACAGAGTGCCAGGAGGAGCATGGTTCGAGAACAGAGTGCCAGGAGGAGCGAGAGATGGTGGGAGTGGAGAGGGAGGAAGAGAATGGGGATGAGGAGGAGGATGGAGCGGAGAGAGGAGAGGAAGATGGAGAGGAGGAGGGAGAGGGGGATCGAGAGGGAAGTGGAGAGGAGGGTGAGGAGGAGGGAGAGGAGGAGAGCAACGAAGAAGAGGTGGCAGCAACCCGTCGGCTACTTGAGGTACCGACCGTGCGAGCCCTACTCGGCACAGTGCTGCGAGCGCGTGATAGCATGTTCGGGGGATTGAACAGGGCTGGCTTGTACGGGGTGGCACGTGATGCGGTAACGAGTAGCAGAGCAGTAAAAGGCGCGTGGACAGTGGTGGATGAGCTCAGGGCTGCGCGGGTGATGGAGAGGGAGGAGAGTGCGATGGGAGGGTGGGGGTGGGAGAGGGCGGAGACGGAGAGGAGGGAGGGGAGGCAGAGTGAGGGCAGGGAGCAGCGGAGGGAGTGGTGGCGATTGCTGCATGCGAGGCGGTTGAGAGTGGCTGAGAGGGGTGTGTTGATGCGGTGCAGAGCGGTGTGGCTGGGTGAGCGGTGCTTGTGTGGGAGGGAGTGGAGAGGAGAGGAGGCGTGCAGATTGTGAGTCCAAGCGTTGGCAGCAGCTGATACCATGTGTTTCACTCTACTTCACAATGTACCTTGCTCCATACCAACTTACGACAATGTAACGCGATGTTCTACAACATTTTCAAAAGAAACATAGAAATTTGATTAGCATTAGACAATTAGACTAGACAAACAAATTGAAGGAGTAGGATTGGGATTAGGGAATGGAATTAGACAATTTTGAATTAGATCATGCACCTTTCATTTTCAGATTCGAATTACTTGCAACTTGGGCATGTTGCGATATCAAACTACCTTGTAAGAAGGTCTCATTGCACCCACCACCTGCTTGGCACTTGGGAGGAGTAGCAGTCGTTTGGGCAGCAGGCAAAAGTTTCCGAACAGCCCGCAGCATTACAACCTCCCCAGCAGCTGCTTCTCGGGCAGCGCTCCGCATCCTCGAGAGAGCAGCATTCAGACTGATAGCAGATCGCCCATGCATGGCGACGCTATGACCACTAGTGGCATCACCACCACCACCACCACTAGCCAAGTGACCACTGGTCTTTTGAGACGTCTCAAAACTCGAGAGAGCAGCATTCAGACTGATAGCAGATCGCCCTTGCATGGCGATGCTATGGCTCCTACTGGCATCACCACCACCACCACTAGCCAAACGACCACTGGTTTCCCCAGCATGGCCAGTGGTGTCACCAGCACGACTGGTAGAAGCCCCATCGGCAGCAGCAGGAGAGCCGGTGACAGCAGCGACAGTGAGGGCCCGCCTGGCAGTGAATCCCGGAGCGGGGGTGCTGCCCTCGCTGCTTCCCCTGCTGGCATGGTCGGTGCTGTCAGCAGGAGAGCCAGTGACAGCAGGCACGGTGAGTGCCCGCCTCACAGCAGAGCCAGGAGCGGTGGTGCTGCCCTCGCTGCTTCCCCTGCTGGCATCGCCACCACTAGCTGTATAACCACCCGTGTCAGCAGCAGCATGGCTGGTAGCAGCAGCACCACCAGTGACAGCAGCAACAGTGAGTGCTCGCCGGGCTGCAGATCCGGGAGCAGGCCGGATGCCTTCAGGCGCCCCCACGGCCTTGCCTGCTCTCCATACCCGCACTGCTGCTGCTGCCCCCATTGCTTTCCCTGGGCTTATTGGCCTCACTGCCTTTCTCTGCCTTGCTGGCCTTATTTGATTGGTTGGCCTGACAGGATTATTTATTCGTCTTAATGGATGGATCTGCCCCAGTGCTCCCATTGGCTGTGCTGCTCCCCGCGGTCGTGTGGGCCTGGGAGGAAGGCTGTAGCGCTGTGTGTTATGCAGGGCGGGTTGTGGGTGAATAAATGCTGCCCCGGCTGCAGCACGAGCAAGAGGAGGAGGGACAGTAGCAGGTGGAGCAGCAGCAGTACAAGTAGCCCCAGCAGTACCAGCAGCAGCAACAGCAGCAGCAGCAGTGCCGGCACTAGCAGCAACAGCAGCAGCAGCAGTGCCGGCACTAGCAGCAACAGCAGCAGCAGCAGTGCCGGCACTAGCAGCAACAGCAGCAGCAGCAGCAGTGCCGGCACTAGCAGCAACAGCAGCAGCAGCAGCAGTGCCGGCACTAGCAGCAACGGCAGATAAATGAGCAGCAGCAGTAGAAGCATGGTTAAGCCCATTGGCTCTCTGACTGCTGCCAAGCGCCTCCTGCCACAGGTCTGCCACGTCACAGTCCACGTAGAGATCCTGCCAGCTCAGCGCATCCATGGCGCCGAGATAAGCACTCGGCTTGGCGAGATAAGCACTCGGTTTGGCTGGCTCGGACTGCTGTTTATTCCCCTCCTCCTCCACCCCTTCAGTCAACTGCAACTGGTCTTTAATCCGCTCCTCCTCTCTACTCCGCCCCTCCTCGCTTATCCGCCCCTCCTCTCTAATCCGCCTCTCCTCTCTAACCCGCTCCTCCTCCTCTCTACGCCGCACCTCCTCTCTAACCCACCCCTCCCCTCTACGCCGCACCTCCTCTCTAACCCACCCCTCCCCTCTACGCCGCACCTCCTCCTGTCCGGCCCGCCTGTCCACGGCCTCTGCAATTAATTGCAACTGCTCTCGAATCCTCCCCTCCTCTATAACACTCACAGCAGCACGGCTCGGCGCGCTCACAGCAGGGCTCGGCGCGCTCACAGCACCCACTCGTTTTTTATCCTCTCCCAGCGCCACATCTGCTGCCGCTCTGCTCTCTTGCACCTCCGCTGCCATTCCCTCCCTCCCTCGCACCATCTCCTTTGCCCGCTCTGCCCGCGCTGCCTGTTCAGCCCGCTTCGACCGTGCAGCCGCTTCGTGCGCCTGTCTCCTTATCCCCTTCCCGTCCTGTGCCTCATCCTCCCTGCCCTCCTCCTGCCGCTCTGTCTTCTCCTCCCCTTCCCGCCCTGTCTCACACCTCGACCGCGCCCCATCGCACAGCACCATTCCCTTGTGCACCAGCATGGGCGGCACTCCACCGACGCTGCTTCCCCCCGTCTCTGAGCCTTCTCTGCCCGCACGAAGTGTTGCTCCCTCTGCCGTGCTCCTCCGCGCTATTCGGCCCAGCGCTGCACCCCCCGCCACCCGCGCAGCATCCTTCCGCCCACCCGCCGCACCTCTCGCGGGCAGTTTCCCACCTGCACTTCTCGAAACCCTCCTGCGAATTACGGGGGTTGCGAAGCAAGTTACCCTAACGGCGACAGGCTTGCACGTGACGACGTCGCCATTCCCCTCATCCTCGTCGCCAGCGTCGCACGCTCGTCCCCCTGGCCCCCCTGTCCTTCCCCTCCAGCCCTTCGCTGCGGCTCTCGCAACTAGAACTGTTCCATTCGCCCCCAACCCTTCGCCTCTCCCCTCCCTGGTGTCCCATTCACCCGGCGCCGCTCCAACTACCCCTCTGCGAAATATGCTAACCGGCATTGCGAGAACCACGTCATCATCATCCTCCTCCCCTTCTTCCCCATCATCATCACCATCATCCTGTTTTCCCTCCCCCTCCTCCCCCGTCTCCGCCTTCGTCGCTCTCACCAGCCCCACCGCATTCCCCCCAGCGCAACTCGCGGTTCTGCACGTTCCCGAGCGTGGCTGGCGCGTGGCGCACGTGGTTTTCGCCGCCTGCTGGTCGGCAGAGTTGACTGGCCGGCACTGAATGACGGCTGCAGCGGAGTTTACCACGCGCAGGTGACGAGACGGCATAATGCCGGTTCCTGTATCTGTAGTCCGTGCTCTTCGTTCGTCGCTGTCTCTCTGGCGGGGAAGGCCGGCCGCGCCGCTGCTGTCGAGTCTGCCACTGCAGCTAGCATTTTCACGGGATATTGTGACGACAGTGTTCCCTTCGCTCTGCGCTCTTTCCGGGGGGGCGGAACCCGCAACGCTTAGACGCCGGCTATCACTCCACGTACTACTAGCAGCAGCAGCGGAATGAGCGGCAGAGCTTGCGCGCAAAACGTCGACAGGCGGGGGGGTCGGCGCAGCAACTTCCGCGACGGCGCAGATTGTAGGAACTGCATTCGTGGGCGCGCAACGGCCTAGTCCCCCGTCCCCCGGCAGCTGGCCTCCCCCGTTCCCCGGAAGCTGGTATCGGCGGATCCCCGTGCACAGCGATCGCAGGTCCGACCTGCGATCGGAGTCCGACTGACGCGCCGCGTTTTCCGCTTCGACCCGCCGCCCCCTGTGCCGCTGCACGTACTGTGACACATCCACGTCCGCAAAAACCGGCAATCGTGGCGCACTAGGAGCTATAAGCGCACTAGAAGTCAGCGACGCGGCTTTAAGTACGGCATCATGAGCGTCCTTCCCCACCGTGTGAGGGGACTGCACGGTACTACCGCGCATCGTCAACTCGTCGGGACATCGGGAATACCGTACGCGATCCTCTGGACCTCGCGAGTCGCCATTTACGGGCGCTGCGGCACCGGCCAGCCGCTTATAGATAGTCCCGGCGACGACGCGGGGAGCTTCATCACCGTAATTTGTGGTGCAGCGATCCGTGGCGATGCGGCGGGAAAATATTAGAAACGGTGACTCGGGAAACCTTGCGTCGCTTCTAACCAGCGCGGCCTGCCATTTATCAGTCGCGGCAAATCGAAGAACATCCCCCTCGCTGCCATTTGCACCTTCATCGTACCTAGCACCAGCGGGTGCCGCGGAACGCAGGGGCGCTACTCTCGCCCCCCCATTCATCGCAATTTGGGCCTCGAGCTTCAAAGCTATGGCACTCGGTGTTTCCTGCTCGCAATCAGTCGTACTCTGTGGAACATGACAGCTCGCGCCCTTGCAAGAACCGAAGCCATTTTTGCTTCTTGCTGTCTATGGAGACAGCTGCCGTTTTCACTCAGTGACTAATCGTGTTATTGAGTCTAAGGAGAGTGATCCTGGACGAGAGGACGACCTAGAGTCAAATTAGGTGAAATACCACGTGACGTTAGCAATGCAAAGTAAGTTCGCGTCGCTTTTCGTCTACAATACGAAACAATTTCTGATTGGATGCAAAATGCAGCGCCTTCGCTACAGTGGAAAGGACGCGTCGCGATCACTTTGGCCTCCCTGGATTGAATCCCGTTCGTACATTTCTCAATCTCACCCAAGGACGGGCCGCGTCTCGTTCAACTGTAGCTATATGTCAAGAGGGGCACTTGATCATTTTCCTCGGCACGTTCAAACAACGACCTTTTCTTGCTCTTCGCGTTCCCTTTCCGTACAGGCATCCGTTATAGGTTGTTGCACTCACGTACAGATTATATGTCAACACCAAACTCCATCAGCAATAATCAATTCATCAAGCTTGTAGGAAAGTGTCGTTGTTTCTTCTTACACATCTACACTAGGAAATTTGCTCTTGCTGGTGCGCGGTCCGCTCAATTTCCCCATGTTTCGCCAACGTGCCAATACATCAGTCGCATCTGCAGTTTCAAGGTGCGCGAACATTTGGATGCGAAAACCGCGCCTTTCGCAGCTCATTTTTTGGCTCGCATCGTCAATTTCCAGCCACCCCAGTTCTATAACACCAAGCTAGTAGCCCTCATGGATCATCCTTCGAGCATGAAGAGAATATATTGCACTTCCATTTTCACAGAACCTCCTACGTAGAAGCAAATCGATTAGCGCCTCACGTTCACAACCAGTCTACAAATCCGAACTAGGAGTATTCTACTCGCGATTCATTCCACGTTTCCCAGTCAGGCTGAGCCCTAGATCGAGCCTCACTTCAGCTTCGCCTTCTTCTCCGCGGCCCTCCCACGCAGACCCAGTGTTGAGTTTCGGACCTGGCAGAAGCCGCGCCGCATAGGCCGCCTTGAAGGGCGAATCAGTATTGCTAGCCGCTGCCGCGAATTGCGGGCTTCTCGCGACCACAGAAGGCAAATCTTCCCCCTCGGTATGCGATCTGAATAGCCACGAAGGGGACGGTTGGGCAGGCGGAGCGTCAGTAGCGTCACGAGTCCTGCATACGTTAAAACAATAAACAAATGAAAAATCGTGCGCAAAAAAAAAGAATTTACAACGAACGCCGAACAGGATTATACGGAGGACCTACGCGGTCTCAACAAGCACTCCCTGAAATTGGGATTCCGTGAAATCTCACCGCGGAAGCCTGCTGAGCTCTTGCGATACAGAGGACGGAAGACATGGATCGAACCGAGGGCCCATTCGCGCGTGTGGCGCGGCAGTCACGACGCCCGCCGTGAGCCGCGCGTCTGGCGCGGCGTCGACCACGCCCGTGAGAATGTCCAGGTTATGCGCCTCCGCACCCGCTCCCAACGGCGAAATTGGAACATCATCCACTCCCGACGGACACATTCGAGCAACCGCTCCCAATGGCGACATTCGAGGTTCCGATCCCTGTGCTCGCACTCGCGCATCGCCGCCCAACGGCGACATTCGTGAGTCTCCGCCAGATGCGGCAGCGCGGATGACGGGCTCAGGCCCGTCTCTAGCCGCCGCAGCCGTTAAGTCTGACGGGGCGGGGAGCAACGCGACTGCATCTCGGTGGACTGCAGCAGATAACCCCGACTGGGCCGCCGTCAACTGTTCCGTCAGCAAACGAATTCCGTCAAGTCCGCTTACTCTAGCCAGGGCGAGGAGAGACGCCTCTAGTAGGCGCTGGCTGGCGCCGGGACTCGCTGGGATTGGCGGACCTAGTCGCGACGAATTGTTAGCACTACCAGCAATGGCGGAATGAGTGGAACTAATATCCCACAAGCCGGGAGGAGCTGTGACCCTCTCCGCAGGCCCTTCTAGCGCCGCACCCGCGCTACCACTGCCCGCAGCGACACCATTAGATGAAGGAGCAAACGCGCTCAGGGTGAAAGGAGAGTCGCGACCAAGCAAGACTGGGGGGCTCAGGGTGCTGGTGACTGCAGTGCCACTGGTGGTAAAATTGGAAGCATTAACGCTGCTTATTTCGCGGTCATGGAACGAAAAGCTCCCGCCTGTTTCGCGGGCATGAGCCGCGCCTGTCTCTCCGTCGTGCGCTGCTACTCGCTGGGTCGCGAAGCTCGCGCCGCCCAAGCGCGCTGCGAGGGAGGTAAGGGCGGACGGGAGCAGGCCTTGTGTGCTCGGCGCGCTGTGGTGCGCCAACAACTCTGCGTTCTGCGCGGGACTTTGCACGACACGAAACGCCGTTTCCGAGTCCGAACCCTTTCGCTGCTGTTGTCGCGGGAGCGGCGGCGGCGGCTGCTGCTGCTGCTGCTGCTGCTGCTGCTGCTGCTGCTGCTGCTGCCGCAAAAAAACCTCTTCCCCAACAGAAAATCCGTAATTTCCGCGTGGAATAATCTCGTCGTTCGATTTTCCTCGTGAGGGAGCAACGGCGGCATCATCGGCTCGCGTTCGCTTCCTCTCCGCCATCCTAATATCTGTGCAATCGCAGTCGTTGGGTGGGCCCTCCGCGCGTTTTCCGCTGGGCTCCACGACGTGCCGCTGCGCCGCAGTTTGCGCCGCCATTTGTGATGCCGAACTCAACGCGGCCTGGATAGCGGGGCTCGCCCGAGTCAGCAGCCACTGCACGGGAAAAAGAGGATAACAGCATGATAGGATAGCATGATTCGCGCGGTACTAAACTCGAGGGCCAGGTGGAAGAACACAACAGCAAGAAGGCGATCGTCTTCCCATAAAGCCGTCATGATATTTAGTTACTGAGAAGCCACGCAGTCTAATTATTGTCGTTACCGTCGCCAAGCAGCACTCCCCGCGCCGCGGTCTTACCGATCGATGGCCGGCAGCGGGCTTTAATACCTGAATCGTCTCGCCGTCCGACCGATGGCCGAGAGCCCGCGTCAGGCGGAAGATCTTCGCGGCACACGCCGCGGGCATGCGGATGCGCCGTCCGCGCCCGTCCACCTTCCGGTGCCTGTCCTTCCGCCTCGCCTCCATTTCCCCCTTTCCCCCCTCCTCCGCCGCCTCCTCCGCACCTCCGTCTTCCCACCCCAACGATTCCGCGACTCTTCCCCCCTCCGCGTCCGCAATTGACACGTGCGCGGGCTCGCCTTGCGCCATCAGCGCAAGCCTGGCGGCGGCATTAGTGTCGTCGCAATTCGTACCATTCACTCCCCTATTGAAGCCTCCGCCAAACCGCTCGCTGCCGTTGCTGTCTCCGGAGGCACACCCCGCCGTCGCACTTTGTGATTTCAAATGAGTTAGCGGAGCATCCTCTTCTTTTCCGCCGTTCCAATCGTCGGAAGGGAGGCGAGAGTCGCCGCCAGATGCGGGCTGGTCCAGAAAACCCACGGGCCAAGGGCTTGTGCTTATATTGAGTAAACAAGGGGCAGCGACGGCTTCTAACGGGGAACGGCTGCTTCTGCCATCACGCGATGACGCGGAGTGAAAAGCGACGCGACGCCTTTTCGCTGAAATTGAAATGTCGTCCATTTTCAGAGCTTCTATTGAGGAGGTGTCTCTCGGAAGAAAAATATGAAATTGCGGTGACATTCTACCGAGTTGTCCTTTGCCGGATATGCTTCTCGTAGTCTAATCTCCCGGTTTCAGTCATGTGCTAGACGATCACGAGCTACTCCTGCATCAATCTATGGCGGACGAGGCTGGAAGGTGATGAGGAAAATTTGTGAAGCAGCAAATGCAGCGAGGATGATGATCATGCTGATAATGCCGCTCGTTCCAGACTGGCCCTCAAACACAGACACACATTCCGCACACTGCCGACGCGTTGCAGTTGCAGCCGCGGCTGCGGATGATGGTCACATCGGTCATGCGTCGAAGTGATACACGTACCTGTTTGGAAGTGTCACAGCTGTACACGAGGAAGAAAAGGGGGGAGAGGGAATGGGAAAGGGATGCCTGTGTTGGAATTGGCGGGAGTGGTGGGTGGGGATTTGGGAATGGAAAAATATGTGTCCGGGCCGGGGGAAGTCACCCTCGGCAATAACCCCCCTTGACGGGATTGGGGTTGGAGTTGGATGTCAGTTGGAAAGGGAAAAGGTTACGAAATCCAGAAGAAAAGCGAAGGATTGGATTCGAGCAGTGCGAGCGGGCCCCCCTCACACATCCGCCTCGCCGCAACCTCTGGGGGGAGATCGCGGGGAGATTGTGGACAAGCGGAAGAGACTCGTGGACGCGACGCGACGACTGGCAACGAAGCTGAGCGGAGGGGGCTGGGGGGGGAGTTGATGAGGACGATGCGCAGATTGGGGGAAGGATGGAGGAGGAGGAGCTGGAGGAAAGGGAAAGGTTGGGTGGGGGGGCAGGGGGTAGGAAAAGAAGAGGAGGTGTGCGTGCAAGCAAGGAACCTTGGCTTCACATCACAAGAGCAGTGCGGAAAGCAGTGTGAGCAAGATTGCTCCGCTCCGCTGGCGAGTGGCCACCCACTCGTGCACGGGGCCGCGGGTTTGGGTTGCATCGTCGAAAGAGTGCATCGCAGAGCGGCGCGAAGTGCAACCACCGCGGCTCAACGACGGAATGTGGTTGGTCAGAAATAGCCGAGGAAGGGCCCACCACCACCACACCAACACCAGGCTGGGGCATCTTGGCATGGCGGAGGAGGATGTTTCGAAATTCTCCTGTGCATGCATGTCCCCAATCCAACCCAACCCCAAGCAGCTAGAGGGAGAGGCATCCGCAATAAAAGGGGATGCTGCACGTGGATATGACAGTTTGACTTCAACCAGGGCAGGAAGGAAAAGCAATAGCCACGCATGTATACAATGTTTGGTTGCGGCGTCTTTCCCAGGGCATTACTGACTGTCTAAACATAGTCGATGAGTCAGTACAGTTCTAGATGCCCGATAACAATTCTGTCATTTCCCTCACACGCTTGATCTGCTTCGCTGTACAGCCCCTTCATGATTCAAACGGTGATGCTCGATGTCGCGTTTCCCAGCTGGCGCACGCCGATCAAAATTTGAGAAATCTGTTGCGCGCATGTGGGCCATGGCGTAGGAAAGGACGTTGTGGGCCACTGGTGCTTCCGCGGCTGGTGGAGCTCAAGGTGAAACAATTTATGCGAGTTGGACAACCGCTTGGAAACTTTGATAAGAAACGAGATTATGTAAGTCCCCTACACCTGGTCCGCGGTATTTTAACCGCGCGAAAATGGGTAGCAGGATTTTGGATTATCTGGCCGTGGTGAAGATAAGGTTGCAAAATTTCGGTCATTGTTTTCACCACCAAATATCTGAACAGCATGGAAAGTTTTGACAGCACTACTCAAAAGGGAAGAGATCATCGAGGGGCCGAACATTAGCAGAGAAGTGGCCGAATTAGGGCCGTGTGAGTCGCACCCCTAGTACGACGGTCCGAACCTGCGTACGAGCCTAAATTATATTTTCCGAGCCATAACAAATATTAACCCCTATTGGATGGCATGCTTTTAGGGAGAAATCAACCCTAAACACTTTGCGACAAGGTGTTTAGGGTTGACCAATTTCTAGACAAACTTTCGTCATCTTGCTGGGTGTTTAGGTTTAAAAAATGTTGGGCTAGTTGCGGCGCTGGTTCGGCACTGCTTCGAAGGGGGCGAATCATCCGGCCCTACATTGGCCACTTCCCTGCTGTTTTGGGGCCCTTATTTGATCTTTGCCCTACTCAAAAGGAGCAATTCGGCTCTTTTCGCCATCTGGAATGTTCCAGAGTCGGGAAAGTAAAACCATCGACGGTGACGATTCTTTTGGAAAATTCGGATGGGGAAATTCGCTTGCCACGTGGACGGCGCCAGCTGAAATATCAAAAAAAGGCTTGGCAATCTACAACTTGGTTCGGTCAAGTGTGAACAGCGATTTCTGGCCACCCAACAAGAAACGCCCAGCGTGCCGACAAACTTGGTTACGATACCGGCGGTTAAAATACCGCGGACCAGGTGTACCCTCCCAAAGGAACTTCGACAGAGGCCGGAAAGAAACGAGATTATGCAAGTCCCCTCCACAAATTTCCTAACTCCACAAATTTCCTTCGTCTGCCCGGAAAGTATCCTCAGACCTAAGCTGTCTCTTAGTGCCACACTGCTGCAAGTCAATGGCTGCCTGCCTGCCTACGAAGGCTACTGACGAAGGGCTGACGTGTGGCATAATCCACAACAAGGCAACAGAAATCATAAATGCAAGAAATGTTGCCTCCTGCTAATGTTCCCTCAGGTTAAAGCCTACTGTCCTAATTTGTTATCTAATAAATTGTCACACCAGCCATATCGAGTGGTTGTGAAACACAGAAACACAAAAGGCACGCCATCTAGGACACTAAGGCAAAGGCTCAAAAGGAATTAGCAATCGACATTCTCGATCGTCGCCTTTCTGAGACATCAAATATATCTGCATGCATGACAAAATAAGCAGGCAATGAAGGCATTACAAAGGCGAATTACCGGAAAACAATAACAAAAGCAAAAACACTCCAGGGACAAAGGTGTACAGCCACCTGTTGAACGTTTTGCAACCCAGACTCACTGCTGGCCCTCAAACATGCAGCAGCAGCAGAAGCAACAATTCCCCAATTCCCCTGCAGTTGCATAGACAACACCAGAAACCCACGCTCACCTGCAATGTGCCAAAAATCCTCCTAATTTCCAGCTCAGCAGAGATCAACCCTTGCCAGCTCCCCCTTTTCCAGCAACTCCCCCAAGGCCCCCCGCTCCCCCATCCTGTCTGAGAGACCGAGGCAGCGCCCCTCCCGTTGCATTAATCACCTCCCGAGGCCGTTCCGAACCTCTCGCTGGTACACCCGGACCTCCTCCCGGACCACCTCCCAAGCCTCCCACCGAGCCTCTGCCACGCCCGCCCCAGACAATCCCGCCCCTCACACCCCTCCCCATTCCCACCCCCCCTTGCAAAGGCGCATCGCGAATGCGAGCCGAGACAGAAGCTGACGAGGAGGCAGCACCAGAAGCAGCAGCAGCAGCGGCAGCAGCCGCAGCAGTAACAGCAACAGCAGCCGCGGCTCCAGCACTTGTGCTGCTCACACCAGACCCACCAGCGGGAATAACAGGCCCGGCAGTACTAGCTGCTGCCGAGCCAGGAGGAGCAGGGCCAGGACCGGCCGAGCCTGGTCTAGGCTGGGTGACAGGCTTGGCAGATGATGCAACAGCTGCTGTTGCCGCAGCAGCTGGCTGCAGCGCTGCAGTTGCTTTCACACCAGTGGGCACCCCAGTTGGACCCGCACTGCCCCATCCAGTTGCCTTCACGCCACCTGCCACCCCACCAGCACCAGGCTCTGCCTTCCTCCCAGCAGTTGATGTGCCCGGTGCAGCAGAAGCAGTGATACCTTTGCTCACCCCACTCGCTCCACTCACACTGCCACCAGAGGATGCAGACGCAGCTGCAGAAGGGGCGCCTGAAGGGAAACCCGAAGGAGCACCTGAAGGAGCACCTGAAGAGGATGGACGAGGGGGAGCAGGACCAGATGCAGCAGCAGCAGCAGCAGCAGCCCAACTGGTTGCACCCTTTCCTGAATCTACCTTACTTCCGATTCCCCCACCCCCACCCACCTCCCCTCCATTACTTCCTCCCTGACTAGTTCCCCTCCCCCCTGACCCTCCTCGCCTTCCCCCATGCCTCCGCCCACCCCCTCCTTGCCCCCCCATGCCCGCTGCTCCACTCCCTGACCCCCCAGCAGCACTGCCTCCCCCCTCCACGCGTCCTCCAGTGCCCTTCCCCCCTCCTCCTCCTCCCCCTCCTGCTGCACCTGCTCCTCCTCTACCCCCCGATTCTCCTGCTCCTGCTGATCCTCCGCCCCCTCCCCCTCCTGCTGCGGAACCTTCCGCGCCTCCGCCACCCCCCCGCCCCCCTCTCCCGCCCCCACGCCCTCCTCCCCTTGCTCCTCCCTTTCCTTGCAATCCGTCACCCTTTGCACCTCCTCCTCCTGCTCCTCCT